CTACTATTCCAGCTCCTACGCCTTCCGACGTTCTTGAGCCGTCTGTATATATCTGTCTCCCATGAAGTTAACTATCATTAACTGAAAGACAGAATTGTATTAAATGAAAAAATCCCCAGTTTAAACATTGGATGAATCTGTTTTACAGGAACTGGAAGGTATGAAGTTGTGTCTGGTAGGTGCGAACATTTTAGCACATAATTTAAACTGATAACGAGCTGATGTAAATAATGAAAATGTAATGTCATTAAATAGACAATTTAAGCTAACATATGGCGTTTATTGTTTTCAAATTGAAACAATAGTTTATCGAAACGGAAATCATTTTTGTTTACATTAATGTATGTATAAACGCGCACCTTTAAATGTTCTCTGTTTAGGTCAACGATCAACCGACGTACTTTATCGGAATTGTTTAAACAATCTTTTCCGTTTCGTAATAGGTTAAACTACACTTTACCAGCGTCGAGCATAAATTTCTGATAAAAATCAAGGCCGCTTTGGTAACGACTGATGATAGACATTAAACGAAGATCCAACCATTTTCCATTGTTCAATAAAACAGTAATAGCCTTCAAGTTGGAATAGATTTTATAGCTACCCTGGGCTGATAATTTTATTCTCTTTCTCGACAATTTAAAAAATTTGAACATATTCTTTTTTAGGATACGAACCTCTGATTATAAAACAAGATTTAAATCTCGAGAATTTACATAATATGTGAATTAAATTGATTCGAAATTTGAATGTTGGTGATTTGAACACCTGCTGTGCCACTGTCCGGCACTGGAATACCAAGGCTTTAAAACTTTAGGGCACTGTTTTATGGAGAGACTAGAGTAAGCAGCAGAAGTCATTGGGACATTGGGAACTTTGCAAGGGGCTGGAAGTGCTTTAACGCAAAGAAAGAATGAGAGGAAGGCATAATAATACAGAGTATCGCAATGGGCCCAATGCCTCCAAGTGAGGAATCAAACAGGCTCCCAAACCTTAACAACCTAACCTTATCTAATATCATTTGATTTTATAATTTGATTGGTGCTTCTCGGGATAGTACCGTATGATCGAAAAAAAAACAGCGTCAGCGATGGGTATGAAATGAAGATTGCTGTCATTTTATATGTAAAATTATATGGGGAATGCCATCGATGTTCGTTCCCAAGCCAACTGGACGCCGTTTTTTTCGATCGTACAGTATAATGATTTTCCATTAAATCAACTGTAATTATAATCATGTCATCTTATGGCTAAACTTCTTATTTGTAAACCATAATCTGATCTTGAAACAAAAAACTAGCATATAAATTGCACTTAATGTTTCAAGAATACAATTATTCTAAATGTGGCAACGCCGTCGAAATCGCACCTTGTTACACGGAATGTTGCAGATAAACCTGCAGTTTTATTTATTACGCCACTGAATGCCTCTCACCAGTTTTTGAAGGTGAATCGGCGGAAAACTTGGGTAATATTGATATAATACCGAAAAGATAGAACAATGAAAGTTATCGCCCAATAAATATATTATATAGAATAGATTGACGTTATATTGTACAAAAAGGAAATAAAAGAATAGGGTATTTTGTTGTCTTGTACATAATTCGACTAGTCAGTATCTTTAGATTGTTTAAAATTCCAAGGCTATATTAAAAATCGACCAAGATCAAATATTTTTCGTTAGCACAGTTTTATAATTATATAAATACAATGGTGAATCTGTTTTCGAAAAAATAAGCATTTCAACACTGTACAGACTACAGACACTTTTGCAGACTTGTTTGTATTTTAGTATTAAGTTATTCCAAATTGTTCTAGTTGCGTTTTCTAAAAGTCTTTTCAAGCAGAGTTTGTTGGCTATGATCTGTTCAAAGTCCAAAAATAGTGACAGGTATCACAATTTTTAAATTTTTTTTCTGTCAATTTTTGGATGTCATCTTCTCGACAGAAAAGACCATTTCGACGGTCTTTTCTGTCGTCGGACAGTCTATACTATTATACTTCTGTACAGATATTGATTATCCACAGATTTATCACTCAGTATATCTAGGTATCACTCTCGTGTATAATCAGAGCTGGGAAATTTAGTTCACATTTTCATCTTTCGATCTCGTTCAGCAAAATGAATAGTATAAAAGACTAGTGTTTTAGTTCATTTAGTTCACCGAGTTGTAGTTTGGAAAGAATTAAAACAATTATAAATAACAAACAATATTTCAATGTGGTATATCTAGTATAACTTAATATTTCTGATCAATTAATTGATAATTGATTACAAATGTTAAATGATTATTATGAATTATAAATAATATAGGATCTTTTTATTCATTGAGAACGTATGTTTAGATGTTTTTTTGAAATTTTTGAAAACTTTGCCGTTTATGTAGTTATTCTCTTAAATATTAATTCTCATTAAATGAAATCATAAATCCTAAAAAAGACTAATAACAAACCACAAACAATAAAAAATAAAAACAACAAAGATAAATTTATGATCGTTTTTAACAGCGCTTTCAGATGGAGCGGAGCGTCCGCATGTCCTCGTGTTTTTTCAAGATAGCCGTCGACGAACTCATCCGGACTAACCCGGACGGAGCATACGCGACTCACGTGAAATTGTTCATATAATATAAACTCATGGTAGTTGCTCGAAGCCGCGGACGGTCTGTCGCGGACGCTCCGCTCCATATGCAAGCGCTGTTTACATCGTCATTTTATTTTTTTTTTTTAAATTTTGGAAACGTGTTTTGCTGAAGCCGGTCCCATACGATGTGTCAAACACCTTCCAACGTTGGACACATGAAAATTTGCCACATCGCATCCTGTAGGACCGGCTTAAACCATATACTTTTATTAATCCCACTAAGAGATTATTTACACACCTCACTAAACGTATATTCAAATCTTCAGCAAGCAAACATGGCTAGCGAAACGCTCGTTCAATGTTAAAAGTGTTTTGGTGTATTCTGGTGTATTAGTGTTTTATATTGTTGATAAAATGCCATGCAATAGCCGTGTGGTATAATGTTAGGCTTTTTATAACATATGACTTTTGAATAAATTTATTTTTACCTTGAAAATAATAATAAGTTTAATATACTTTTCATTTAATGCATCTGCTGGATGATTTTCCTGATGCAATCCTATAATGACCGCTATAAATAATTTATACCACTATCGCCTTCATGAACAGTTGTAGCGGTTTCCTCTGCGATACTTCGACCACGACAAAACATCTACACAAATCGCTTCCTAATTCTGTCATTGCTATTTTTATTAGTGAATAAAAACGACTTTTCTGGGTTTATTTGCATCGCAGAGAAAGAGCGTGGTAAACATCCGGAAGTTCACAAACAAGACAGATTTAATTAATCGATAATCGCCATATGTATTTATTGTGCATCCTACCTAAGCATTGTTAACGGCCTTCAATGTGAAAACTAGGCATTTTCTGTAATGATCGAAATGTGATAATTAATTATAGCAATTCTAAAAAGGAGCAAAATAGGTTTAGGAAGAGATTTTTTATTATACTTTTAGGTAAACTAAAATGTTCAATGTTCTGTATCTCTCAAGGATGTTGTGTGCTTTGACAAAATTTTATTTTATTCCATCCTACAGCTACTTATTCTTACTATAGATTTTATATGATTTTTGATTAACGATTTGTTGATATATGTAGAATGTAGAATGTTTAGGAGGGGGTTAAGTTAATCACCGCGACCTTACAGACAGATCTATTGCGTGTTCCCTTTTCGTGAGTTATAACGAGCTATAACTCATCATACAGTCTTAGGGCTTTGACAAAAGCTAGTATCTAAGACGGCTCCACAGAGGCCAGCTCTCCATCTCCAACATCAGCCGTACCAAAGTTAATGGCACGAATGGTTATCGTCTTGGCGCACTCATGCAGTAATGAGGTGTTCTGGTGTGTCTCCATTTTCCCCACAGAATCTGCATTCACCGTTGTTTCTCAGCTTCAATCTACTGAGGTGTTCGTTGAGGAGACAGTGTCCTGTTAGAAACCCCGTGACAATCCAAAGATTGTTAAAGCAAGGGAAATCTTTGATTTATCTCGGTCTTAAGTTCTGAGAATTTTTTTCGAGTGTCTTTAGAACTATGAAGGATTACTATTTTTGCAGGTTACGGATTGATTCTTCTAGAATCTTGAGTTGAATTCTTGATTTCCGCTTTAAGTTGGTTTCCTCTTGGAAAGCAGAACGGTTCTGGTCCAGTTAGTGGAGTGAATTTCTTTACCATTCTAGAGATAACAGTTGAGGGTTGGAACCTTTGGTGTTACACAGCAAAATAAAACACTAAATCACCACAATACACCAAAACACTTTTACACTGGACGCGCGTTTCGCTAACCATATTAGCAACATCAGCAGATGATTATAAACTGAGATATCCATGAGTTTATAATCATCTGCTGATGATGCTAACATGGTTAGCGAAACGCGCGTCCAGTGTAAAAGTAAAAGTGTTTTGGTGTATTGTGGTGATTTAGTGTTTTATTTTATTTTGGTTTTTTTTATTCTAGAGATAATGTTGGCCACCCACTGTTTTGTGGTCATTCTTATGAGTGCTATTGCAGCGCCGCCAAAAAGTTCTGGGCCTACGAATGACATCATTTCCAAGCCAAATATAATCGCCCTTTTTTCGTCGTATGGTATAGGGGATAATGAATTGGTTCATGGGGGATCTTTCGTTTCATCTCTTCAAAAAGAAATAAATTTACTGAATAATTTTTATCACTAGAAGCCAATATAAAAATAAATACAAAGATCTACGAAAAATATAGGCCGACAAACAAGACAAGTCAAAAACAACAAAGAGACAAGTCAAAAAGTTTATAAAATACTTGACACAAAAACTATGAAACTTCTCAATTGTCAATCTAAATAGAAGTGAAAATTAATTATATAATTATGTTTTTTTTGCGTATAATGTTAGCTCTATTTAATATAGTAAGTCGCTAATAATAAATGTTTTTGTTACAGGTCATCGCTTCAAACTCTCCACAAAATCAGTGGCAAAGCTCGCGAAGGAAACTACTTCCAGGGTGGTGGTACGCATTCCTGGGTGGAGTATTACGAAAACCACGTTACCTCTGACCGGTCCTGCCTCAATGAGTGGCACGCCATGGATTGCTTGGAGTCCAGAAGGCCGCCATCGCCAGATTCGATACGCGCGAGGCCTACCGAGAGGGAAGAAACGGAAAAAGTAAGTCTACATGACTTTGTTGAAGTTTTCTTGAATTTTCTTAAATCTTTGTAGACCTCCAAAGCCAAATCTAATTCCATAATTTCCTTTTTGTTATTTAAGTCAAAAAACGCTTGATCATTAATCTTTTACAACTCAAGTATGTCAAGAAATTCAAAAAAGTATGGTAAATATAATTTACCTGCGAATTAAAAAGACAAGCAACTATATTCTTTTCTTGGACAGACTTTAGTTAATTTTTAAAATGATTTTATGTTGACAATTAAAAAAAAATGTGATTGGAGCAATGATTTACAAGGGCTAGTCATAACCTAGCTAGATCAGTTATATACAAAATACATCTTAACCTTCTTTTTATTGATTATTACTGGTATATTTTGACTACCCTGGAGTGCACTCTGGCATATAAAGTCGCGGGAAAATGATATGAAAGCGGTGTGATCGAAATAAAAAGGGCGTCCAATTGGCTTGGAAAAAAAGAACATCGGTGTCATTCCCCATATAATTTTACATACATGGTCCGGCAGTAGTGCGTCGGACATCTGTAGCTATTAGAATAAAAAAACTTGTGAATTTTGTTTAAGTGCGAACCTACAGTAAGTATGTATTAGGATGTATTTCAGGAAAATATTATAACTTTTATAGAGTGGCTCAAGAAAGTGAAATCAAAACTATATTAGGTATTTACTTACTTTGCTATAAATATGGTAATCGTAAATCATACAAGGTGTCTTCTAAAATATAAAATATTTTTTTTTGGTTTTTTTAAGTGGAACATCCTGTATATTATTTTTTCAGTAGATGGAGAATTAAAAATGAACATTTTTTGTATTTACAGTATTTCAAAAATTTTCACGGTTTCGCAGATATTCGCGGTTTTATATTTCATATGGCATTTTCCACAGTAAATTTTTATCAAAGTCACCCAATGGGTTTTCTCTCGTATTTTACTGTTGAAAGAGCCATATGAAATAATACTGGGCGTATCTATTTTCTCTCGTATTTTACTGTTGAAAGAGCCATATGAAATAATACTGGGCGTATCTATATCATTAAAATTTTCGAAACCATTAAAAATTTCGAAATACTTTAAATACAAAAAATGTTTATTTTTTAACTCTCTATTTAATACAAAATGATATACAGGGTGTTCCATTTTAAAAAACAAAGTAAAATTATATTATATTTTAGAAACTTTGGCGTAGAATTTTGGACATCCTGTATGATTTAAGATTAGGATATTTATAGCAAAGTCAGTATAGACCATCTAAAGTAAATACCTAATATAGTTTTGATTTCAGCACAGTTCTTGTATTTGTAATGTTTTTTAAGGAAGGTTGTAGAATTATGTAAAGTGATCTGAAAAGAAGCCAAAAATGCAATAATATACAGGGAATTCCATTTAAAAAAACATCCCGATCTACTCACATTTTTTTAATCACCATATAGAAGTTAAAAAAATATTTTCCTGAAATACATCCTGGTAGATACTTTAAGTTTGCACTTTGTACAAAATTCTCAAGTTTTTTATTCTAGGGGCTACAGATATCCGACGCACTATTGCCGGACCCTGTATAAAATGACCCATCTTCATTTCTTAGCTATCGCGGACGCCGTTTTTTTCGATCATATTGTACTAACCTAAATAATTTTATTCTTGAATAATTTGGGTTAGTTATTGAAGTTTCTGTTTTATTTTTAAGGTAATTCGAGCTACACTCAAAGAAATTATGATGTCCGTGGATTTGGACGAAGTAACGTCAAAAGTTATTCGTACACGACTCGAAGAGCAACTAGACATGGACCTGGCTGAGTACAAGAGCTTCATCGACCAGGAGATGCTGGTCATCTTAGGTCAAATGGATGCACCAACGGAGATCTTTGAGCACGTTTTTCTGGGATCCGAATGGAATGCCAGTAATTTCGAGGAGTTACGAAAAAATGGGTAAGAGATTATCTTTAACCGTTGATTGAAGAAATAAGATGCGCAACCTTATGGGCCATTTCGTGGCACAAGATCTGTCCGAGATGTAGCTGGTGATACCGTCGCCGCTAGTCAACCTGTCCTCCGAGCCGGCGCCGCTGCGCGTTTATAGTTGTTTATGGCGCAGCGGATAAAGAATACTCAGTGCCTTCTATTAAAAGATCAGCCTGGGGGCGGACTTTTGTTTACTTCATCAGCTGTACATACTTAGATATTGAGTTAGATTCCGTTTCATATTTTGTCGGTTGTGACATATATCTAACTAGCGTGACGTCATAAATCTCGCCCGTAGGCTGATCTTTTAATAGAAGGCACTGGAATATTATACCGTAGTTCTGCTTTCAGTCGACAGAGTGGGTGGTTTTCGGAGACAGCGTTGCCAGAACTACGGATTAATCAGTAGATTTACGGATTTCGGCTACAGTACGTTAATACGGATTTTCTTAAACAATTTAATATAATATTACGAGCCCTGTCTCAGTGAAGTTGGCCCAACTACTAAAACTATGTTTTTAAAGAGATCTGCCAAATTAATGAAAAATATCAAAACGTAATACCGTGCTGGTAACTGTTACTTTTGGGTCGGCATTTACATGTGTGGAGGTAAATCGCATAGGGATCTTATTAAGTCGGATTGAGACAAATGCGACGGTGTGCTATTGCGGCGTTGCCGGTACGCCTTTTCCTATCAGGTAAAGTAAAATCACGATCGCAAACAGCTTATTTAAAAGACTTTTTTTTCGAAAAGACAACTAGATAAAATCATTAGACATGTTTCTGAGCATCTGAAATAGAATTATAAGGATATCGTTAGGGTGTCATTTTTTTTATAACGAGAAAACGTCAGTAATCGTGATAATTTAAAAACTCAACTTTTTAACACATAACACGCCATAACTCAAGAACCACTTTAGATATTAAAACTTTTTTTATTTTGAAGATAGAATCTTTTACAATAGGTTTACATAAGAAAAATTCGATAAGATTGTTTTTTTCCATTCAAAAATTGTAAACAACACAAAAGTAAATGGATGGGTTCCATTTACTTTTTTAGAGTATAAAAATTTTCAACAATCGTGTAATTTGTTATTGATAAAGATTTTCACATACACTCTACAAAGAAAATACAGCAAAAATAAAGAGTTTTTGAAAAAAGTACAATCAATTATTTCTAATAGATTTCGAGATATCTATTTTTGAATTCAGAATTCTAATAGCGCGACCACTGTCGAACTCCAACCCAATTCCACTTGTTTTTACCAAAAATGCAAGTGTTTCTAGCTTGCATTTAAAATTTTTCAAGCTATGCAAAATATTATGGTAAATGCTGGTAAATACGAAATATTCAGTACCTATAAAAGAATTTGTATTTTTCTTGTTTATTCCATATTTAACAGGAATATATTTTCAATACATAAACGCGGATTTTTTTATCCAAAGATATTTTTGTCAAACGTATTACAGATAATATTACACATTTTAATATGGCAACACTGTCGCTTTCAGTTTAACACCGTTTTCGATATATTTTCGCTAGCCGAATTAGAAAAAATGAGTGTTTTATGCGTTGGTCGCAGAACGATTGATGGCTCCACACTACAGAACTTGAGACGTAAGGGGAAATCAAATCAACCTTGTCACGAATTCGCCCATTAGCCTGCGTATCTTCCCATTTCTTTCAATCAACGTTTTAACATTTTTATTTTCAATATTATGATTGTTAATTTTTCAGCGTCGGACACATTTTGAACGTTACTAGGGAAATCGACAACTTTTTTCCTGGGTCGTTCAAATACTGCAATGTACGAGTTTATGACGACGAGAAAACGGACTTGTTGAAACATCTAGATGACACATTCAAGTACATTTCAAAAGCAAGGAACGAAGGCTCCAAAGTAAACATTATATAACATGTTCTTGTAGCATTTTAAAGTAACTCATTTTCTAGGTTTTGGTACATTGTAAAATGGGTATCAGTCGCTCGGCCACCGTAGTGATAGCCTATGCCATGAAAGCATACCGTTGGGAGTTTTCGAAAGCCTTACAATACGTCAAAGAACGACGAAATTGTATCAAACCAAACACCAATTTCTTAACTCAACTTGAAACTTATCAAGGTAATAACTGACAGTAAGAAATATTATTAATTCAACTTAACATCGTTTGTGCTTAGACTGAAAATGCTGAAAAAGTGTAAAAATGAATTTCTTAGATGACACCTTCGGATCTTAACTATAAAATTAAAATTACAATTAAAATTCGTTTTCACAACAAATTACTCAAATTTGTTGATAATTCTTTATACAGGGTGAGTCTTAAATAAATGCAACTATTTCCAGGGCTGGTAAATCTCGATAAAAGAAACACATTTTCTTTTTACCGTTTTTCAAATATGTTCAAAAAACTGACATAATATTTTACTTTGAAAATGAAAAAATGTTTTTCGCTTATATTTTGAACCACTAGATCTTTTCTGATTTTTCTTTCTTGTAAATATTTAATCCACCACCTATGTTGTCATATTATGAAGATATGTTTTTTTAACGAAAAATTAAAAAAATATCAAATTTTTTTCAAAAAATTCCTCATAGACGTGTGTGGGTCTAAATATACTACCACTAAAAATATTTGTACTTATTTAAGATTAAAGAAATATCGTATAATCGAAAAAAGCGGTATCAAGTTGGCTTGGAAATGACGATCAAGGTTACTGACATATTAAAATTACGAATTTACAACTATTGTCGTTTCCAGGCCCATTCTGATGCCCGTTTTTTTCGATGGTCTACGGTACTACTTCGATGAAAATTCTTTTAAAATGTTGTGTGGGAAACCAATACATTTAAAATAAGTTATGTTTAGTTAGACGTCTTTTAGAATATTGAATTGTTTTATAGGTATATTGGATGCAATGAAGAACAAAGAAAAACTACAGAGATCAAAGTCTGAAACTAATCTTAAATCTCCTACTAACAGTAACAAGACGGACAAAGTGCTCTCTGGCAAGGAATCGATTCCTATCACTCAGGCTCTGTCCAAATCCTACGATTTGCAATCGACGTTGTCCGGGCAGGACTTGCGACAGATGGGCGCGCGACCCAAGTCCTGGTCTCCCGACAACATCGCCACGAAGGAAATCCGAAAGAATATTAGGTCGTCACCTGGTTCCGTTAGTTTGGAAGATCTAACTCAGGCCCGCCACGTGCTCATGCCCTGTGATAACGGGGAGTCGTACAGCGTCTCTCCAAACCAAATTGTACACCTACCCGGTCGCGACGTTAGCGATCATAGTTCCTGTAGTTTAAGCGATAGAACTGTAACGTCCGAAACGTGGGATCCAGGAGAAGTGAGCGAGGAAGTAGCGACGGCGTCGAATGTCAGTGACAGTACAAATAGCGAAGTCTGTGATTCGAAACTTAGTGTAGTCGAGTGTGAAAACATCCCCGTGTGGACCTCTTCCGCTGTGGTAGTAACTCAAAGTGCTGTGTCTTTTAGTAACCTTAGTACAGTTCCTGAATCTCGTTCGAAATCCGGTTCTCAGAGCGATTTATTCTCTAATCAGTTGGATCGCGTGTTCGACAAAGAGGAGAAAAAACAAAAGAGGAGGTCAGTTATAGTGACTGATGTTACTCCAGCAGACGATGGTACACAAATCAGGGAGTGTCCCTCGAGGCAAAGTTCGTGGAGCTCGTATGATAGCGCGGTTGTTATGGGCGAGAAAAATGAATTATCTAGGCATAGTTCGTGGGGCTCAGGAGACACGAGAAATCGACCAAGTAGAAATAGCTCATGGGGGTCTTACGACATGCGTCCACGAGGATCAGTATACTACAACAATGAACAAGGTTAGTTTTTTTAAACATCCAATATTACTGTTTTAATAGGTTTCTATTTGATTAGGACACATTTAACTATTTTTTCAATATCCATGGTTATTTAAATTTATTTTCAGACTAATGTAATTTTTTAAGGGGAATTATCATAAAATTAAATTTCTAAAAGTATTAAAGTGCATATCAAAAAAGCTTTTTGATAATTTCTCCTTTAAACTTATGAACTGAAATTTATTGGCGTTTACTAATTTAGTACAAGTAAGTAAAGCTACAGGGCCTTTAGAGATATTTAGTGCGATACATGGAGGCTTACCTATTGAAGATAGAAAAACATTTTAAAATATAGGAGTTGTATTTTTTTTTCTTTTCCTGAAACGTCTCAAAATAAAAGATCATAAAATTTAGAAAAATTTATAACTTTACTTTTTTAACGGAACACCCTGTATATTTGATTTTTTTTAAAGATATTTTTTCTTCCGATTTTAAATATACCCCGCTGGCAAGCGAACCTTCGGTTCGGTGTTTACATGTATAAGAGTGAGTCGTTTTGGCAATCTAGTAAGTCGGAGTAAGCAAAAATACGAAGTATTTATTACATAACTACTTAATCTAACGCTAGATTCCATGCGTTTGGGAAAATGCTCGCCTTCTGTCTTTATTCAGTACATTTTATTTTACTAAGCGTGTTGACCGTACTCTTCGTACACATGAAAACCGGCACCCAAGACCAGAAATGCCGACCCTTAGAATATAGTTTGTTTTAGTAGCCCTGGTCACTTTATCTGCGTGGTTTGTATTTTAATGCATGCGACAGAGATTAAATATAAATGACCGGTTGACAGATAGAGAGACAAAATAGAAAGCGGCAAACAGTGTTGCCGGTGATTTTTACGTCTGTATGAAAATGTGTGTAGAAAAAAATAAACTATTTTAATAACTTTCATGTTTACTACTGAAATGGGATAATATATCTAAGCTAAATATACTTTATTACAGCTGTAGTAAAATAACTAACTAATTGTGAAAAATAAAGTTCCAACCCTAGATGCAACATATTTCAAAAACGCCTACTTACAATTTGAAATTTTGATGCAAAATCCGGCAATACCGCATAGAAGAAATGTATCAACCTAACTTTTATCTCTTTTTAATACATTTGATTTTCCATTAAGCTGTCGACATCACTGTCTTACACGTTAAAATCCAGACCACGCAGTTTCGATGACCAGATTGATTTATTTGCGTGAACCGTTTTAGAATAATTATTTTTTTAATCAGTACTACATTAAATACACATATCCACTACACAAAACGGCATATTGCATAGGGTGCGTCCTAGACCATAATATAAATAATACTCTCTATCTTTTTTTTCGGTATCAGTTGCATTAATTAAACGATAATAATTCAAAAACAGTTCACGTTATATAAAGTTAAGTTTTCAAGCATCCTAATTTCGGACGTTTTCTGCGAAAAACAATACGGTAGCGCGAAATTTAGAAAGAGTTAAAGATGTTTTAACGATTATTTCGGACGTTTTTAATCTTACTTGACAGCTAAATACATAAAGTAAACCAAGAAATTCAAAGGAAATATTTGGATGTATGAAAACGAATCATTTATATATATATTCATTCTCTTGGTTTGTTATATATTTAACTTAATTAAGCTCGATTTTTGGACCTTCACAGGAAAAATGAACTTCAAAAAAAAATGGTCGAGAAAGAATTTATAGAATACCATTATAATTATTAAGAATTAGAAGTATTAATATTGTTATTAATCCTTAATAATAATCTTTTTAAATTTGTTACAGGGGTGAAGATTCTTCACAGCGCCTCAGATCTCGACCACAGTTCCTCAGGAATATTTCCTTACACTAAGGAAGATATTCCGTGGCATCCTGGTACCGTCCGGCGTACCAAACAACGTATTGAGGGTGGTGCTGCACGACAGTGTAGCGTTGATAGCGTAACAAGCAGTGGTCTCTCCCCTACAAATGCTCCTAGCTTAGAAACGTTATCATGCAACTTTGCAGAGGCGGTTAATAATACTATTATAGATCGGTTAAAAACGACTGATAAAGATTCTAGTGCCATATCAAGCAGAATTGATATACCTATAGTAGATACTGGAAAGACCCTATCAACAAGTATATCCCGGCTATCTGTAAGCGCTCCTGAACCTTCCTCTATGGAATTGGTATCCCAAGATGGTTCCTTATCAAGATCGGTATCTAACGTTTCTTCGCCTTCAAAGGATAGCTCATCTGTTAAGAATTACCGCCACATCTTAGAATCGCCTAATAGAATTACGAAGAAACTGGATAATTCTATAGATATTTCAAACTCTCTTGGTAAAGTCCAGAACTTAAAAAAAGAATTTGAGGCTAAATCAAACATAATCGCTGTGGATCCGCTAACTTCATGCGTCGACCCAACAACTGAAGGTGGTTTAAAGGTAGCCAAACAGAAAGGTAACAGTGTGCCTTCATCACCAGTAAGCAATCATGTGGTAAAAGACCAGACAGCTCCGAATGAAGATTTAAACTTTGAAAGTATCAGGAGTAAATTTGAGAGTAACGAGGAAAGGGAGGTAAAATTAAGACAAAAATACAATAATCCCAAAAGAAATGGCACTAGATACTCTTGCTTTGAAGTGACAGTCAATAAAAATCTACGTCCGCAATTGATATCAAACTTGAATAAGCAAGAGAAAAATGAGACTGAATATAAGAAGCCTCCAATAGTAAAGCAATTGGCGGCTACTGTAATTGCGACAGCAACAAAGAAGAAACAACAATATGGCAACAGTCATCCTTTAGCGAAAATAAATATAAGGCCACGGCACAACAACCCGGTCTATAATACAATGTAAGAGCAGCTCAAGTAGTGCAATGAAGTTATACGAACGCGCATCACAAGAATAGTGCTGTACTATCTAGAGTCGCATAAATTTACATAGATTCTAAAAATATGTGTTCTAGGTAATAACCTTTTTTCAAACCAGAAATTTTTGTTGCTTGGAAAATTTCACCATTTTGATCATTTAATATCTATTATAGCTTATAAATTTTATGAAAGTATAAATTCTATGCAGTTGTTAAAGATACACTCATATAAATTAATATTATTTGTATTTGTTTCTCTTAAGTTTTTTATCAGTTTTTATGTAAACTTCTAGTAAACAATGTCAGAGCTTGCTCTGTGTCTAACATGTCTAATACTACTAACTTGACTAGTTGAAAATGTTTTTTTTTAATTAATATCTATAAATACTGATTTAAATTTAAGGGAAAATTAAAAATTTTATCCCAATAGAAAATTAGATTCCTGGTGAAATTTAGTTTTAAACATCACAATATCATCGTAGTATTTACAGATTTATAATTTTAGCTTATGTTCAAGCCGAGCAAATTTTCTAATATACCATTATGAAATGCTCAAGTTACAAAAGAAAATGGCTGTGACTGTTTTTTTCTATTTTTCCACAAGCTAGGTTTTATGTATTCAAATTAATTTGTTTTTCATATTTTTATGGTTAATTTGTAACTATTTTTCTGTTTATATATAAATCTATTTTTTTTTGTCACAAAAGAAACTTCTATGATAGTTTCAGTGTGGCGTTTTCCTTTTTATTTAGGAAACATTTATGTGAAAAGCTCTACTATACTGCTCAGAGATGTAAAAATTTTAAAAAATCAATAAATATGTAGTATCACAATTACTGTGGTAATATATTCTGTAGCTATTATTGTATATATTAAGCTTGAGAATTATTGCAACCCACTTTCATCCATAGTTGCTTACATAATGTAAATAAGGTTAAGAAATTATTTTTCAAAATATAAAAATCAACAGGACATTTCTGAATTTAAAATTGGAGCAATACTTATGTGTAGTACATTTAAAAAATTCTATATCAAAAGTAAATCAAAATATACTCTTACAAATAACTTTAAAGGTAGTGCTTAGAGTTCGATGGTTTTAATTTTTAGCATAAGCTTCCTTTAGACTGCGGAAAGCATGATATAATGGACCATTTTCAAGTTGTTAATAGTTCAATATTTGTGACATCACTTTCAATTGAAAATTACATCACACCTAATTTTTACAACTGCACACAATATGAGTCGAATTTGATATTCTCCACAGGAGACATTTTTGTGGTTCTTCAAGTCTTCTTCTGAAAAGAGACATATTAGATCACCCTTACAAATTTAATCTACATAGGTAGTAGATTAAATTTAAAATTTATTAAGATTTAAATTTAATAAAAGAACAAAAAAAGATCAGTGGTTCTCAAAGTTTATATATTTCTTTTAATTTTCAAAGTAAAATGACGGTATTTTGGACTTATTCGAAAAACGGTAAAGAGAAAATACATTTCTTTTACCGATACTTATCTACCAGTCTTGAAAATATTTTCAGTTAAGACTCACCCTGTATTGGCCTTGTCATTCGTTGGTCAACAAATTTCATGTATCCAATCTTATTATTTTCAAATAATTATTGACTCTCCTGGGCCAGTGAGGTCGAATAAGTGGTTCTAATATTGTGTGCATATTTGTAAGAATAAAATTTAAACACTCAAATATTTCTGTACCAAAATTTATTATTATATATTGTATAAAAGCTTCAGATTTTTATGTGTTTACTCTTTATATAGCCAAACAGACAGAAACAAATTATGTATATAAAACATCCACATATGTAAAGGTGCGTTCACGCCGGCTGCGCCGCTCCGCGTCTCGCCGCGCAAATAATTTTTTTAACATATACTTTTGTGCGCGCTAAGAAAAATATACTTCAAAAGTACATGTTAAAAAATGTTTTGCGCGGCGCGTGCGGCTGTGTGAACGCACCTTAAAATTAAGAATTGCTAGACACCATTTGATATATGAACATTGTATTAATTCAATGTATGTGTTATTCATTATGTATGATATTGATTAGTAGGGATGTATAATATTACTGTATATTTTACAGTAAATTATATATATTTACAGAAACTACAGGGTGTAAAAATATAGTTAACTGTGTGATAAACGACTTAAATTTTTTGTTTCAAAGCAATGCAATGTGTATTATCCAAAAAATCTTTCAAAATCTTATCTGTTATATAAAGTACCTACATCATACATATTTTTTAACTTGTAGTATAAACTATTTGTGTACAATCATGTGCATTAATAGATATACATATTTTAATATATTACATTGCAGATGATAAATCTGACAACAAAAGATATAAAAAGAATTAGATGAATATGATTGAATATTTTGAATTTATTTGATTTATTTTTAGTCTACTTTTATTTTTACTTCTACTGTTTTATTTAAATTTATTTTAACTGTAATGTACTGGTATGGTATCAGGCTGACTTCTGTCAGTGATAGTTAAACCAATGTAAATTTGTACAATAATAATTTCCCTGCCATCAACAAAAACCTGTTAAATCATAATCTTTTTCATCACACTGTATATATGTATCCTAATGACATGTATATATTACATATTATTGTTGTCCATATTATGCTTTATATGGATAATTATTACAGAGGTTTTTCAGCTTAGCATAATTAACACATAAAGAATCTGAAGTTTTATACTATGACTGACATTTTCTGTAGCTCCAGAATTTTTGCACCACTAGTGATATTTTATCACATATTAATTGTAGTTCATCATACTCTTTGTTAAAATATAATTTCACGAAGAAAAGAATTTATAAATATAAAGACAAAAAAGCACAAAAATTTCAGATGACAATAACATTTACACTAAAGATGTTCAACTATCTGTCATACGAAAGATCTATTTAATGTCTACTATCTGTATGTTCTTAAATATATTTTTAATTCCATTACAGTTAATAATACTGAAGAAGCTATAGCGTGTTCCTGTGTGGGAACTTTGCAGATTAATAAAGCAAAGGCACATAACTCAGTGGAAACATGTAGTGAGCTGGCAGCTGAATTATATTACAATAAGTTTTATTGCAAACATGACAACTTTTCAAGTTCTCAAAACCAACTTTTTATTTGTTAATACGAAATCTTACGTTAAACAAAAACGCTGTCGTTTTTTTGCTTTTTGTGTGTGTATTTGTGTGATAGTTAATAATTTTTGTACTATAGGTGTAAATTATTATTCTACGATGTACCGCTTATAAAAAAATGAAAAATCTCAATCCAAAATATACAAATTAAAGAACATTTATCGTTTCAAAGGAAGTTTTATTTAACTAATTGTTATTTCCAGTAACTAAACTAATAAAAGTCAACTTGATACAATTTCGTCCCAGAAATGAAAGCGATTTTAGGGACAGAGGCTATTTCACTTTTTACGGTATATTTCTCTGTTTTCGACGGTTCCCTCTTGAGTTTAGATGGACCTACATCAATTCCATATACTGCCCCAGGTAGCTGATTGATAAAAGCTGTAGTCTATATAAGTAATAATATTACTTACAATCATTATTTTTATAAGGTATGTCCAAGAGAGGGTGACCATACCGATTTGGTCATCGAAACTGTGCGGTCTGGATTTTAACATGCAAGACAGTGATGTAAACAGCTTAATGGAAAATTAAATATATTAAAAAGAGATAAAACTGGGATCGGCACATTTCTTTTATGAGATAGGTATTACCGGATTTTGCATCAAAATTTCAAACCGCACAAGTAGGCGTTTATAAAAAATGTGAAAAATGCATCTAAGGTTGGAACTTTATTTTTCACTATTAGTTACTCATTTTACTACAGCTGGTAATAGATTATATTTAGTTTAGATATATTATCATTTCAGTAGTATACATTTTCCTACAAACGTAAAAAACTGGCAACACTGTATGCCGCTTTTGATTTTGTCTCTCTGTCTGTCAACCGGTCATTTATATTATTCTCTGTCACACGCATTAAAATCCAGACCACATAAATTGAATGATCAGCAGGGTACATGAAGGGTAAGGGTTAAACGACGATGTCCATTTTATGGAATTTTTATAACAAATAAGTACACATAGGGTAATACATTTTTGTATCTTTAACATGGTATTTGGTAATATTAAATCACTTCTCTGTAAGTCGTTTTTGTGACATTGTCGGTTTTCCTTACCCTTCGTATTATGAAAATTATGTTTCTTAATTTTCTCGGATATTTTATTGTCACAAGTCGCGGCATATCGGCAATCAAACTAGTTGTCATCCAAAGTCTTCCTAACAAGAGGATAAAACATGACGGTAACAGTTGTTGTCTGTCGCTTTATTTCATATACACTCACCGGCAAAAAAAACCGGCCACTAAAAACTAGTCCCAATTTCAAAGTTGGATTTCTCGCAAACCACTCATTAGATTTGGATGATTTTTTTTAATTGTAAATTAATTCCTTCTTAACGGATGCTACGTCAGCAATGTTTATTCCAAATTTATTTTGAGCATATACTGGGCACAACAATAAGACGAAGTTTTTTGCCCAAAATTTGTAAAACCCTGTAGGGTGCAGCAGCTGTAGTAGCTATTGCTAAAAAAATCACATTGTGGCGTCATCTTTTGTGAGCATTTTGTTTTTTTAATCACGACATTATCTCTGTTTGTATTGGAGATACGCTGCTTTAAAACAAACGCCTCGAAAAAAGCTTTAAAATCAAATCAAACATCAGAACGTTTAACGTAAACTAACTAAAACATGAAAATTAAAAAAAAGGTAAAGAAATTTTAAGGGACTAATATCTAGTATCCACTCTGGTGAAATTTCCCGTTTCCATATACCGTTTCCAGGCATCCTGGACTGTTGTTCGAAATATACCCAGGGTATCGGAGACATAACGTTGACTTCGGCCATCCTCAAATAAAGCCACAATACGAGCAACATTTGTTACAGATAATGGCATTTTCTAATTTGACAACCGTTTTTCTCATATTGCAAATACTCATAAATCAGTTTTCGCCTATGTCGCCTTGATTATTTACACACAAAACTTTCCGCCTTTTCCGAGATGAATTCTGAATTTTTCCGAGACGTTCGTTTTAAAACAGCATATCTCCAATACAAAAAGAGATAATGTGGTGATTAAAAAAAAAATGCTCACAAAAGGTGAGGCTACAATATGATTTAATTTAGCAATAGCTACTACCGCTGCTGCACCCTACAGGGTGTTACAAAGTTCGGACAAAAAACTTCGTCTTATTGTTGTGCCCTGTATATGCTCAAAATAAATTCAGAATAAAAATTTCTGACGTAGCATCCGTTAAATAGGAATTAATTTACAATTTAAAAGAAAAATCATCAAAATATAATGAGTGGTTCGCGAGAAATCCAACTTTGAAATTGGGTCTAGTTTTTAGTGGCAGGTTTTTTTTGCCGGTGAGTTTATAAATTGTCTAATACTGGCGAAAAATAAAAACATAATGCAGATTTTCTTAGAAATAAACACTTACAGCAGTTGTTTGTAAATCTACAACTCTTAGTAAATTAGGATCTGTTCCAGCACAAACTACAAAATCTTTTGTAACGTATTTCCCACAGTAGAGCTGAAAATTTATACCACAATAACTTAAAAAAATAACTAATACGTTTTAGAAATATACCTTGGAGGTAAATATATCTGGCTCTAAGCAATAGAGCCTTTTGGCAGAACCATAATCAAATACTTGTAGGGGATCTTCCTTTTGCCACGAACATGTTAATATCTATATAACGAAAATATCGTTGTTATAAACATGGTCATAGTTGTCGTGTTTTACGTGGGCCATATTTTAGTAGAAGTCAAAAAAATATATTTAGTAGAAGTCAAACATTTAACATAACAGATATAAAAGGTGAAATAATCTGTGATTGGTTTATAAAATGAGCCAACATAGTGCATTTTTTAATTATCCATATTTTACGAAACACAAATTATGTAGTATCTGATGTATAAATTTCATTCCCCTTTTAATGAGGCATTATGGGTTTTTAAATGCTGCTAATGTCATAATGATGTAGTCCACTCATTTCAGGATTCTACCCTGTAGTTACATTCATCGCTGTATATACAACTCATTTACCCAAAACACAATGTAAACTACTTATCAAGGATATTATGTATCTATAATAGTTATTTATTATACCGGGTGCGTTTCAAAAGTGGCTCACCCCCTATAATTTTTTTATTTTTTCAGATAAAAAAACGAGATTTAGTATGTTAGTATATGAAATAAACTAGGATTCATTGACGTATTCAACTGTTTTCGCTCACTTCCTGTTTCACCGGAAATGACAACTTTTGATTTTTAAATGACACCCTCGGTATTTTTTTACTTTATTTGATAGAAAATGACGCTCTGAATAGAATGACGTACTATATTATATGTCAACTTTCAAAATTTTCGCTTAAAAAAATCGTATTTTAAATTTTAATCTAGAGTGCCATGTCTGAGTTAAAAACGCCAATTTTTAATCAAGCAGCCTTGGAAAAATAGTTTTGATCGTCTAATGTTTTTGTGTCTTGTCTTGACCAGTTAAAAGATGCCTGTTAAAAGATGTTAAAAGAGGGTGGCTCATTATAAGATTTGGAAAAACATTTTTTTACGAATAATTTGATACCACACACTTGGTATTTCGAGTCAAATTTTCGTTACGAACTGCAAGTTATAATTTCAAATAAAGTAAATAAACCATATGCGAAAATGTCAAAAATTGGCATATGATATGTCATTCTGTTAAGAGTGTTATTTTCTATCGAATAAAGTAAAAAAATACCGAGGGTGCCATTTAAAAATCAAAAGTTGTAGTCATTTCCGGTGAAACAGGAAGTGACCAAAATCAATTGAATAAGTTAATCAATCCTAATTCATATACTAACATACCAAATCTCGTTTTTTTATCTGAAAAAATAAAAAAACTTATGGGGGTGAGCCACTTTTGAGACGCACCCGGTATAAGTGTTATGGGGAGCATTTTATCCACACGAGAATGTTTACGTCATAAAAACTTGCAATGGTTTTTCCAATTATTGCGGAAGGTCAAGAAACAGCTACTCATTTACTGCGTGCGAAATCGAGAGAAAATTTGGAAAAAGTATGTGTTTATTATAGAATAAAATAAAGTTATTCTATCATATTCAGGGGTGGATAAAATATCACTTTAAACGCCTCATATGAGTGGATTGTATGATTGTGTATTTTAATGCTTTAAGCCATAATAACATATTCTACTAAAATATGGTTCACGCAAATCGGGACACCAAGAAGTAACAAATCGTGTCTGAGTTACCTCTGTTCCTTTTTGATTAATATCAATGCCTTCGCCACACATATGCACACCAGACAAATGCCTTATAGCGTGCGGTTGTCTCAGGTCCCAAAATTGAACTACATCGTCCCAGCCACCGGTCAGCAATTCATAATTATTTTTCGGATGGAAGCATGCAGCGAACACTCGAGACATTTGCCCATCGTGGACCTCTGGATTATCACTGAGATATTTATCCGTTTAGAGTTAAAAGGAGTATTATCAAATGTAGTACCTGCATGTTAGAATCCTCTCTTGGGTTTTGGTTTCTTCGTCGTAGAAGAGTACTTTCATGTCGTCGCCGAAAGTGACGAATTTTGGAAATCGTGGATGATAAACTATTCCGAAAGTTTGCCGTTTCTCTTTGATCGTATATAGACACTGATTGAAATTGTAACTCCAACACTTTACACAGCCATTCGCATCTACAAAATAACAATTCCTTTAACTTCTAATTTATTTATACCCTACCAGTTTTTTAGAAGTAACAAAATAATTAATATCACAGTATACCGGGTGCGTTTCAAAAGTGGCTCACCGCTATAACTTTTTTATGTTTTCAGTTAAAAAACGTGATTTGGTATGTTTGGTATATGACATATAAATTAGGATTGATTGACGTATTCAATTGTTTTCGGTCACTTCCTGTTTTACCGGAAATGATTACAACTTTTGATTTTTAAATAGCACCCTCGGTATTTTTTTTTACTTTATTCGATAGAAAATAACACTACGGATTAGGTATACTATATGTACAGAGATAAAAATCTTATCCCTAATTCGTGGTACGAAAATTGTTTTTTATGACGATGAGCAAACAAGTAAAATTTCCTGTGCAAAAATAAACTCGCGTTTAAACAGCATAATAACTGGGTCGGTCAGGCGCTGTGCACAATTTTAGAGGCCATAAGTGGGCGTGCTATGTGCGCAAACTAGTAACCTAACTAGTGCGCGACTCCGAAAATTAGAACCACGAAAAACAATGCTTTTGACGATAAGTTTATAATCTGCTGTTATAACACTCTGAATAGAATTACATATCATATGTCAGTCATTTTCGCATATGGTTTATTTACTTTATTTGAAATTATAACTTGCGGTTCGTAGCGAAAATTTGACTCGAAATATCAAGTGTGTGGCATCAAATTATTCGTAAAAAAATGCATTTTCCAAATATGCTAATGAGCCACCCTCGTTCTATTTGAAAAAATTGAGATATGATTAAAAATACGATTTGAGCATTTTCTTATTGACCAGGACAAGACACTAAAAATATTAGACGATCCAATCTATTTTTCCAAATCTCTTTGATTAAGAATTAGTGTTTTTAACATAGCCTTGACACTCTAGATTGAAATTTAAAATACAATTTTTTATTAAGCGAGAATGTCAAAAGTTGACATATGATATGTCATTCTATTCAGAATGTCATTTTCTATCGAATAGAGTAAAAAAATACCGAGGGTGCCATTTAAAAATCAAAAGTTGTAGTCATTTCCGGTGAAACAGGAAGTAACCAAAAACAATTATTGAACATTAATCAATCCGGATTTATGTCATATACTAACGTACCAAGTCTCGTTATTTTATCTCAAAAAATAAAAAAGTTATAGAGGTGAGCTACTTTTGAGACGCACCCGGTATAGATACTCTTTTGCCAGTGATGCGACGCTTTTGGATGTACTGAATAATAATGGTCTTTTAAACAAGGATATAAAACAAAATACTCCAGAAGGCAGTGATTTTTTTGTAATTATTTTAAAAAATTTCGGCGGGATTTTCTAAATTCTTACACTTTACACAACCATTTGCATCTACAAAATAATAATTCCTTATTAAATGAAATAAAAAAGTCCACTTATTTTTTTAGTCTAAATATTTGACATTTATTAAAGTGAATCATTTTATTAATGGACGTAACAGTTTGGCACATCCCAAGTGGAGGAGAGCCAGTCTGGCTGAAAATTTGCGAATACCAAAAATTTGACAGATTTTTCAAATCAATAACCCGTATTTTCCCATGCTTGAAATTTAACGTATCATTTGGTACCTACTATCATAAACTATAATCAAAAGCAAGTCTGGCAAATTTATGAATTTGGCAAATGAGTTTGGCGGCCGCGGTCTTGAAAATCTTGAAAATTGCGAAAATTACAAAATTTTTGCTCCTATTTTACCGGGTTTGAAGATTTGTCACATGATAAATAATACTATAATTTCACAGAAAATATACGTCTGGCTGTCAACAATCTCGAAAGCCCCGCCAGACTCACAAGTCAGTACATTTCGTATTTTTAGATGTGAACATTTTTGACACTCTGCATTTTCGTAATTTTTTCAATATAACAAATTTCAAAAATTGCTCTAGATCCTTGTCCAAATCACCTTGACCCTTGACCAATTTTTTATTGCTATAACTCAAAAACTACGGAGATACAAAAGAAAGTCAAGAAATCGATTCTGTACAGTATTAAATTTCCTACAAACAAATATTTGACATTTATTAATATCGTATGATCGAAAAAAAAACGGCGTCAGCGATGCCTATGAAATGAAGAACGCTGTCATTTTATATGTAAATTTATATGAGAAATGTCCTCGATCGTCATTTCCAGGCTAACCGGGCGCCGTTTTTTTTTCCATCATACGGTATTAATAAATGTTAAATATTTGCTGTAGGATTCTCATTAAAAAATGTATTTATTTTTAAATTGTGACAAAATGGTCTTAGATAGGAGAAAGTTGCAAGAGACATTTTTGCTTGGAAATAAACCGAGTAAATAAAAAATTCAAAAATTTTTATTTTTTATCAGTGGCGTACTATATTTTTTCAAAAATGACCTGATGCGTATCACATCTACGCCACTGGTTGAAACTAAAATCTCTTCTTTTTACATTTAAAGTGTTTTTGTTAGGTAGACTCCTATAATAAAATTTTATAACAATACCTTCAACTGTTAAGAAACTATTAAAGAATATCTTTAATTTTTCAAAAACTTTAACACCCTGTATCTTGCGTAAGAGGCATTTCCAGAGGTTGATACCACCCTGTATCAAAAAAGTTAAGATATTTAGGACATATATTCATATGAACTTTTTTCTTAGAATAGGTCCAAGAATCACCTCCTTAAATGTTAGCATGTCATTAAGGGATAATAAGTACTGAAAATCTTCACTGCCTCCTAGATTAAAACTTGAAATTAAGCTGAAGGTGGTTACTGCAACACACATCATAAGTAAAAATTATATGTCATAACGGGCATTTTGAGCTGGATTACAGTTAATGTTAGAACCTCTGACTTTACAACAGCAAAATAAAATATTTATTTAGATATCACAAACTCTGGACGCATTTTTCTTACCATAGCACCATCAGCAAATGATCAAAATTACTCTTTTACGAGCTCTTTTATCTCTGATCAGAACTCAAATATTTTTATCTGCTGATGATGCTGACTTAGCAAAACACACGGCCAGTTAAACGTAAAGTACGTTGCTGTTGTGTAATGAACTAGTGATATTTTGTTGATCTCGAGATGCTTTAAATTAATATAAGCTCTTCCTAAAAAACTTACAGAATACGACCTATAACAAAAAAAAGCTTTATTATTAAAGTTTACTGCTTTGTATTATCACAGGTAAGGCGAGATCAGCAATTCTTATAGGACATTGCATATTTTTATCAAAGCCAAATAAGCCTATTTGATTATAAATATTTTTTTGATATAGGCTAGCCCCAAGGTAGTTTTGATATATTAGTTTAAACTGAATTGTTAGAACATTGATAAAAATAAATTACATGTTCCAGTATAACAATGGGTTACAGGATAAATTTTTGATACTGGTCTGTGCTTGATTGAAGTTACCGGAGCTCGGTTATCCTTTACATCTGAGTCATAAAGAGTGAACACTAGTTCTGATGTATCGCTTTGATACATTCTTATTACACCATCGGAATATCCAACAGCAATGTAATCATATTCTTCATTATATTTGCAGCATAGAGCTTCCCTTTTTGAATCACTATAAAAAACGTATTATTAAAATCGTTCTTTTTTTCATTCAAATCAGAATAACGGTTCTTAAAATTTGTGAAACTAAACTTGTTATTTTGACCAAAAATACATAGTATAGTTCTATGTCCAAGGAATATTGACACACGCTGTATGTAGACGGGGCTTTAATAAATATTTTTTATATATCGAATTTATATTAATTAAGGATATACTTAGTACATTTTTGAAACAATGTTTATCTTTCCGTCAGTCACTATATTTTCTCTGGGAGCTGTTCTTTTTAAACCATCAAATATTTTGGGTTTTTCATGTTCATTAGTGCCGTCTTTCGCTCGTGATGTATCAATTTCACTTTCTTTTTTCTTTGTCCCTTTACAACCATAAAATATAAATTTATAAAATTCTCTTAAAGACAGAAGAATACTGATACAAAATACCTGTGCTGGGTCCAAATGCTTGATGAGGATATAACATCGACGGAGTAACTGTTGAAGGGCCAGATTTACCTCTTCTAGAAGAAGTACTTACTGTTGAAATTTGTTGAGTTTGAGTATCAATTACCGTTGGGGATCCATCGTTTTTTTTCGTGTGTTCTCTTGTAGTAAGATGTTCAGTATTAATTAGCGATGATGGTGCGTCGTCTTTTTTCTGTTTTTTTCTGTCCATATCTCTGTCCATATTCTCTTAGAGCAAATGTAACTATGTTAAATATTTAGTTTTGTTTTTAAATACAATCATAGAAAACAATATTTGGACCCTACAGGAATTTTTTTTTAGTGTCATGTCAAACTAGATGTATTGGTCATATCAGGTCATATGGAAGTTTTCATGTTAAATTATTTATAGTTTCCGTCAGAGAAAGTTTGCGTATTGTGTAGATATGGTTATAGTGGTATATACTAGTGTCTAGTTACTTATTATAATAGTATATAGTTCATAGATCAAGATGATTTAATTTTTTGAGTATTTAAATTCATCTTCGTTTTCAACCTTTGAATTTTTCAACAGAATTTCAAACACATTTCAAAAATTTAAAATTGCCACGTCTTGTACCACAGATCAACAGATCACCTATTTTGACAGATCACCATCATAAACGGTTGTTATCTATGAGGTTAACAAGGGTTGTTATAATTTACAATAAAGTTTACAATGGATGTTACCAAGGATGTTACCAGTCTATATCTATATCTCTGGTTCGGAAAACTACATGTTACTTTTAAAATATACAAAAACTACATTACATGTAGTTAATGTGGTTTATGTAGAGGGTGTAGTTTATGTAACCTATGTATGTAACTTTTAAAAATCAAAGGTCTGAGGTTTGGTTATAATAAGTTGAAGCTTTAAAAACACATAATGTATTTAAAGAAACAGAAGAAATATGGCTTTAAATATAATATTTACATCGTATTATCTCTATTACACCTCATACAAAGGAAATTTATTCATAATATCAATACATAGTTTATTAACGTAATTTTCATGTAGTTAATGAACGGGAAAAGACGTAGTTTATAAAGAAAAACTACACGTAGTTAATCAGGTAAATTACGTCTTCATTAACTACTTCCGAACCCTGTAGACTCTGGATCACAGCCCACAGCACAGCAACCTCCTTGATCATTGATGCAAACTTTTTTTTACTTTTTAAATATGGCTACATTGCCTGTCTATTTCAATTGTCAATTGTCACAAAGTCATAAATGTCATGGAAGAACAGAAAAAAGGAATAGACGTTGGTAAGTATTGAATAATCTATTTTATATAAATTTTATACGTTTATACAACGTAAAATTAATATTGCATATCTTGTTATATTACTGTTACTTTATATTTTAAAGGCATACTAGTTAAATGATGCAAAGATTTATTTTATATAACCTACTTTTATTTTAAGAAACGGCATGTTTATAAACAAATTGGTAACGGCTTTCTGATATCTTTACAGATTTTAAATTTACCGAGAGGAAGAATATGAAATCTGGTAAACCTCAGCAACAGATTTATAAACCAGGTAGTGGAAAATTGAGACGTTCAAATCAAGGCGCAGAAGATATAATTTCTGAATCTTCAAGCCCAAGAAACATATCTGGGATATCCACTTCCCTAAATAATTTAAAGAGTAAATCTTATACAAGTACCGATTTCACACCAACTAATGATCAACATAAGCGTAATAAAAAGCCAGATAGAGAACTTTATGTGCCTAAACCAATTCAAGCAAGGGAGCAACTTAGTCCTCAAAGTTATGATCAAAATATTAGTAAATGTTTATATACCTACTTATTAATTATTCTAGACTTATTAAATTATTTTGTAGATATTCAAAACGGTAGTGATAAGAATTTAAATAGTGATTTAAGAATGTCAAAAAGGTATTCTAGCAGCAGAAGTGGCCATCAAGGAAATAGTGATAGGAAACCTGATCAACAAAATGAGTGGAGAGATAAATCTCCTGTTTCAAATAAAAATTTAAGGTTGGGTTCAGAACCTAGAGGTAAGAGTTTTCTAAGGAAGAGATAGTTTAACATAATTACATATAATCTTTAACATATTTGGAAGTGTTTTAGAATAAGGATTAATGTGAGTGGTATGTGTTTTTTACTTAGGTTTTCATAGTGGATCTAACTGGCCCAGGGAAAGAGACAGGCATAAAGAAAGAGACACGAGAAGCGTGGAACCTACTGGTTTAGGAAATCATAATCAAAACAATGAAAAAATACAATCAAAACCTCCAAGCGGCAGAAGACATAGTGTTATAGGGAATTTGGAGCAAGAAAAGAAAAGACTTAATTTAATAAAGCAGTTTGAAAATGTAGGTCCTAGATTGAGAAAAAAGTTTTTACAACAAAATGGATTAACACCAGAAGATGTAGGTTGGGACGGATTAACATCTGTTTATCAGGTAATTAGTTTTCTGTTTTTATATTTAAGTATTTCTTTAAGATTGTTTTATTACAGCAAAGTACATCCTCTCAACCACTTACAAGTAACTACCATTCTCTAGATGCTTACAGTACTTTACCACGCTATCCAGCTACAACCTATAATTCAAATGTTGGTTATCATACTTTACCCAGTCAACCACGTGGTAGAGGTCGGTTACAACAAGAATATGAATTTCAGCCTGGACCAGTTTTTAGGTCTATCACACCTGAAAAAGGAGGGTAAGAATTTGAATTAACATTTTTTTTATATTGTCAATATCAAAATATTTCAAAGAAGAATATTACATAAAATTAATTGTATTTGAACAGCTTTATTATAAAAAATTAAGAACACAAAATAATTTAAGAGAAAACAACTAGACAAACGATTTTGAAAACAAAAATCTCATTATCAGATAATAACTGATTAAACTTAATCTAGAAAAATAAAAAAAACTCTTAACAGCATAATAACAACACGAGGATTAAAGTGTAAGCAATAAAAGTCAGAGTGTAAACAGTAATTATTTATAAAATTAAACTTTTTGTCATTACTGATAGGTTTATAGCTTCTTTTATATTCTAGAGAGTTGTATTTGTAGATGACCAGAAAGAGGGTACTGTCCCATAATTATTTTCACAATAATTTTTTTATATACATACTAACTATTAAAATATTTTGCCAGATAATATTTTGTAACAGTTAAAAAAACAGAACGTGAAAATTAACAGAAATCAGTTAAACTAGACACCATTATATTACACTCTGTAGTTACTTATTCATCAGACTAGTGTTGATTTATTTCCTCTTATCATCAACTACATAATTTAACATTTCTTTTTAGACCTTATAAGATCTCGTTTATATTTTATGAATAAGCTTCCTGGATATGATATGTATAAACATTTTCATTAAAAGATATGTATATGCATAACACAACACACATCATAATACATTGTGACCAAATTTGACAAATGTTATTGTTCTATTTGAGGATGTATGTATACCTGGTGTTTCTCAAAAGTGGCGTACCCTTATAACTTTATTTTTTCAGATAAACAAACAAGATTTATTACATTTATGTAAATATTTACATAAATAAATAATAATAATGTACTAATGTAAAAAATATATTTACATTTTTTACATTAGTACATGGTGTAAATCAGGATTTTTGATGTATTCAACTGTTTTTGGTTACTTCCTGTTTCAAAGGAAATGACTACAACTTTTGATTTTTAAATTGCTATCTAGGTGTTTTTTTTTCTTTATTCAATAGAAAATGACATTCTGAATAGAATGACATATCATATTTTAACTTTTGACACTTTCTATTAAAAAATCTTATTTTAAATTGCAATGTTTTTAATCAAGGAGCCTTGGAAATATAGATTTGATCGTCTAATGTTTTTCATGCCTTGTTCTAGCCATTTAAAAGATGACCAAATTGTATTTCTATCATAACTCAATTTTGTCAAATTGAACGAGGGTTACGAGCAGTTTGGTACCATACACTTGTTATTTTGAGTCATTTCCAGTGAAACAGGAACTGACCGATAACAATTGAATACGGCCAACCTAATTTATGTTGTATACTAACATACCAAATTTTATTTTTTTATCTGAAAAAAAAAAATAAAAAAGTTATTGGGGTGAGCCACTTTTGCGAAACACCCGGTATTAACAATTTTTTTAGTTATATGTCATAATATTTAATACTTCATTCTTCTCGAGAAAAGAAACTATAGACTGAATAAGTCTGACATCACGTCAGTGCTTTAAAACCATTTTTATTATGTGATTCTATTTTTGTTTATATAGCTTTTGTAGAAGTCCTGTGAGTTCTCGACCAGGTACTCCGCCCAGAAGATTTGATAGGCCACCGAGTAGATCTCAAACACCTACTACAAATTACTATGATGAGACAAGATCTAACCATGATTCTAGCATGGATAGGGGCAGATCTAATGTTTTTGATAGGTTGGGGGACAGAGCCAGAGAGCATCAGCAATTTGAAAGAGATAGGTACTGTAAATATGTATTTGATGTGATAAGTTATTTATAATATTGATTCTTTGGGTATCATGCATAGTTCATAAATACATAATTCAATAATAGATAAAAGGAAGACCTATATTTAGAATATGTTTCCGAAATGTTTCTGAATATGTTTACGAACCATCTTTTGACGGGAGATGCACTAATATCTCACCGACACTTTACGACATCGTCTATTGATATTTAAGAAGTTTTGCTTGCCGTATCGGTGAGAACCAGCCCCTGGACAGCCCACCTGATGAAGGGTAGGCCCAGAAACCGGTTGTGGGAGTGGAGCTTGGTTCCCCCCTTTACGACAAGCAAAACAATTTTCGTTTTACTTTTTATTTTCTACTTTCGAAATTTCGAAATTAGAAAAAATACACAGCTAAAGGCAAGAAAATATTATTTATTTATGAATATGTTTTCTAGCTATAGAAAAAAAGATGATAAGCCACGAAGGGACGATGAAAATCGGAATACAAGAAGGGACGACAATAGAAATAAGAGGAGCGATTTTCGTGGAGATGGTGACAGAGATAGGTCAGATAGAAATAGGAGAGAATATCCTCGGAAAAATGACAGAATGCGACGTAGAGGAGGTAAGGCATTTTAGTATGGACTAATATCAAATTAAATTTAGACAGATAATATCTAATTAAAGGCAGAAATTTTATGTTTAAACATATTTCAAAATTATTATCTCCAAAAAAGTCCTATGGGTATTTCGTAGTGATGGGATCACTCGAGTACTCGATTATTTAAATAACCGACATCGCTCGATTATGAATGAGCGATGCAAGTGACGAGTACCAAGCGACGAAAGCAAGCGATCAGAATGTAATAAATTGAAATCGGATTTTAATGTGACATACTCGATAAAAAGCCGAGCGAATTTTCAACATACATTGCAGGTAGCAAATTTATACGACCCCGTATATATATATATATATATATATATATATATATATATATATATATATATATATATATATATATATATATATATATATATATATATATATATATATATATATATATATATATATATATATATAAACAAAGGAAGTTATCGTGGAAACTATAAAAAAACGAAGAAAGAAATTTATTGGGCAAGTCCACAGAAAGATTAGTCATGATACATGACTAAAACATGACTACCCGTAGACACTCAGTGTTTCTGCCTTCCGGCTTCATCAATACGGGAGGAATCAGCAACGATGAACTAGCGATCCTGAAAAAAGAGAAAGAAAAGGAGAAGCAAACGAGGCACAAAGGCGCCATTTGCAGCTGGTCCGGCAGTAGCTTACAATTTGAAGCGTTACTACCGAAACCGCCGCGGAGGCGCTCCAACACGCCTCGCCGCTATCACCTTGGCCCAGAGAAAACAGTAAACAAAGGAAGTTATCGTGGAAACTATTTTGGGCAAGTCCACAGAAAGATTAGTCATGATACATGACTAAAACATGACTACCCGTAGACACTCAGTGTTTCTGCCTTCGGCTTCGCTCAATACGGGAGGAATCAGCAACGATGAACTAGCGATCCTGAAACACACAGGATCATATTTTTATATATATATATATATATAAACCGTGTATATATATATATATATATATATATATATATATATATATATATATATATATATATATATATATATATATATATATATATATATATATATATATATATATATATATATATATATATATATATATATATATATATATATATATATATATATATATTTATCCATTGCGTATCGGAGAGACAAAATTTTACGACCTACATCGACAATGCTTTGAAATAAACTAAATCAAGGGAATCGCTCGCCGCCGCTTGCAACTTGCCATTCATCACCGAAAGTATATGTGCCCTGCGCACGCAACTTCCTGCTTGGCGCTTGGCGTTAACGAGTACTTATAATAAGCGACGGGTGAAAAACCGTATTTTTAAATACGAGTGATATTTTGCTCGAGCGATCACTCGGTTATTGCAATCGCTTGAAACTCGAGTATTCGATTATTGAAATTGATCGTTTTTTTCCATCACTAGTATTTTGCCACTGTAAGAAAATCTACAAAATAAAATAGTTATTTTTTGTTAACACTGCCGCGTTAATGCAACGGAGACTAATTGTGAGCAGTGGTTTACTAATAAACAAATTTGCCTAACGGACAAAAAAAAATGCTTAACGTTTCGGAAAGTATATCTTTTTCCGTCGTGGAAGCAAAAAAATACACAAAGAACAAAGAAAAAAACTATTTAAAATATCAAAGGCAGCTATTCGAGAATACTTCAGTTTTTTTTAAAACAGATACGTCTACAAAAACCTTTGACGCTCTGTTAAAAAATAGAAATTAGTTGCATTTAGATATTTTAAATACTTTTTTCTTTCTTCTTTGTGTGTTTTTTTTGCTTCCGACGACGGAAACAGATATACTTTTCAAAACGTTAGGCATTTTTTTGTCCGTTAGGCAAATTTGTTTATTAGTAAACCACTGCTCACAATTAGTCTCCGTTGTATTAACGCGGCAGTGTTAACAAAAAATAACTATTTTATTTTGTAGATTTTCTTACAGTGGCGAAATACCTATAGGACTGTTTTGGCGAGATGAATCCGCCACAGAGGTACCTATAGACTTTTCTTATTATTACCTCTATCCAGACATAGGCAGATCAATTTAGGGTTTAAATTTGAAAAAAAAAATTAGAAAAAGAATAAAATATTAGGAAACATAATTAATTTCTAGTTCATAATTATTATATTATAATTGAAAGTTAAAAAATGATTTGAAAAATGTGTATTTTAATTTTAAACTTCAATATAAATTTGAATTCAAATGAGATATTAATAAAACTAATGCAAAACATGGTTCTTATTGAACCTTAATGCTCATTCAAATTAAGGTCCGCTTTATTTATATGTGTCAAATTATCAAAACATTTAATTTTACTGAACATCCGGCCGTGTTTATTTTCACTATATTTTTTATAGTGTGTATTGACTATAGAGTTATTATTGATATCTACAGTATGTCCCTGGATTGTCTTTACAAGAGGCAAAACTTTTTTATTATTGACATTTTGAGAAAAATGCATTCTTCTTAAAAAATTTTGCTTGTTCTAAAATTTAAAAAAAAATAGGTTGATGATGGTTGCCAGAAGCCGAAACGTCCGAGTCAATATTTAATCACACAGAGTTATAGAGCAGAAAAAGTGGCCATGAAAATGTGTTTTTCATTTTAAGTTATCTTAACAAATAAAGCCAGGAAACAGTAGAAAACAAAATTGAAAATTCCGTTTTTTTTCGAATAGGTATATTCGGAAGTATTCGGAATTTTTCAAAATGCAATACGGCATTTAATTGCTTTGCCTCTATTTAACCGATTCCGTATCTCTTACGGTTTCCGAAATCCCAATGATGAACGTCGAATTCGAGCCACCCTGTACATGTAGAGGATATATGAGTTACATAATTTTCTTTCAGTAAATTCAACAATAAAAACATGCCATTTTCTTTCAAATGTTTTAGCACACCTTGTACAAAGAAAAATAACATTATATCATAATTATATTTATTTTAATACTATATACTTACTATGTTTTTTTAGGACGTGATAGACGTAGTTCTAGTAGAGATACTATTAGGCAAGAGCAAAGGCCCGATTACGACAAGAGATACTTATCAGATCTTAATCAAAATGTTTCAGAAAGTGAGACTGCTCAAACTATTTCTGATCCTAAAGAACATGAAGCATATACTGCATATCCCCCTTCTGATAGCAATGTGCCAGAACAGCAAAGCAGCGATTACGCGACAGCACCTAAAAGTAATGTCGGTTCAGGATTAGACACTCAGTTAACGTCTTTAACAGCTGATGTTGCCTCAGACATTGAGGTTAAAAAAATTGACATATTAGATGACGATAGAGTTATTTTGGTAAGATACTATCATGATTATTAACATAATTTAATTATTTGTGTATTTAGGATTGGAATGAGGAAGTAGATCTATATTGCAAATTAGAGTCCGAAGCTCTTAGTGACGCGTTGACAAGAAGCTCATCTGTAACAAGCTTACAAGAAATAAGTACAAGATCTATGCCGGCATCTACTAGTACAACACCAAATACAAAAAAGAAGAGGTATTACTTAATAGTCATTATGCGCCAAATTTATCTAATTATATAAATTCTCTTTTTAGGAAAGGAGGCAGAAGAAGAAGGTAAAATTAGTAATTTCCTTTAGAGTTAGAGCTAAACTACAGTTCATACCATAAACTTTTAGTCACGTGATTAAGCTTGCAATTTTTAAATTCATTGTTGCTAACTATGGACATATTCGGCACCGTGCTTACTAACTGGCATTTAAATTTTGCGCTGGGGATTCAGGTGGTAGCTGTGCTGTAAAAAATGTCAAGTTGTCGCATTTATTTATTTATTTCCTGACATTGTCATTCGTTTTGACACTTTATTATTTTTCTGTTACAAGTTTTTAGTTTAAATAAATAGTGTTGTGATACTTGAAAATGTTTACTAGCAGACCTTGCAGTCCAACATTGTTCTTTTTAGAATCTCTTGTGCGAAGTGTACAAGATACCAAAGCAGTTTAACAGTCGTTGTTAAAAACTCATCGCAACTTTATTAGAATATTTTGAACGGGAAAGCGGTAGTAATGACCCTTTATATCCCTTAAGTGCTGTTAAGGAGGTGAGTTTTGTTGATGTAAATAATAAGTGTTTATATATATAATATAATTAATTTTGTTTCATAAAGTATTTTAATTAAAAGAAAATAGGTAAAAGTGGGCAACGCTGCGCCGGTCAAGCCTAATCACGTGACTAAAAGTTTATTTGGTATGAACTGTGCACACGAAGCGGTTTGTGCCGCGTCGACCACTGACTCCGCGAGGTGGCGTTTTAAAACACGGTTCGTCACTGCAGCTGCGTCACTTTCACGTCGACGAGACACCGCCTGTTTTGTCCAAGGTGTCCTACTAAGAATAGCTCTCGGCTGTATCTCGGAAAATATTAGCCTTAGGGCATGTGGCAAAAATATTTATAACTAAAGAGGCTATGAAAAATTCCTGGAAATTATTTTTAAGTTTGTAGAACGGCCGCAAAAGGGCGTTACTGCTATGAATTTTTTTTTTGAAAAAAAACAATAATTTAAGGCAGTTAAATTGTAAGGCAGCGTCCTCTGGCGTCCACGTTCAAAAGCTTATTATTATTGTTTATATGGTATACTATAGAGTAAAGAACGCTCTTTTAAACGAGTCCTCTTTAGTTGGATTTCGGTCATCCTTTTTGGAGTTATTAACATTCAAATAAAAACAGATCTAACCTTCCCCTTGCGCTTTACAGTTGTGCTCTCTAGCGGCTGTTCTACAAACTTGAAAATAATTTCCAGCAATTTCTCATAACCTATCAGTTACAACTTTTTTCCGCAGGCCCTACGGCTAATACTTACCGAGATAAGCCGAGAGCTATTAGTGGGACACCTTGTACAATAGAAGTGTCATAACAGCTCGAGTTTGTGTCGAGATGGTGGCCGACTCGGCACAAATCGCTTCATGTGTATTGAACCCTTAGATTTATTATTTCGAGTGTGACGTTGAAAGACTTTTTGTTATATTTTGTTGAAAGACTTTTTCGTTATATCGAATTGGTACTCATTAAAGGTTATATTTTTTTCCTGAGCATTACTTTTTAATGAGCATAAAGAGAAATTATTGGCCACAGCTCACGACTCTTGTCAATACCACCTAGAATATTAAAATCTTATCTAGGACTTGTCAACATTATCATAATACAAAACGATGAGTCATGTGAGCATCTTGCCACTTTGACATATAAATTCGTTAAATAATTATTTTTTATATTATTATCAAACAACATTAACTTCCTAAACAAATAGTTTCACGTTGTTGGCCATCTTTATTGCATATGTCATGGATAATTTCGCACTGAATATACTGACTGAAGTTGCTATATACAGGTTATACAACCTCGGCCCACTCGTCGATAGACGACGCGACGCGACGGGACGAGTCGGCAGAAAACCCTATAAGTGGATGCTATATATCTCTATTGAGAACGCATGCACTTATTGGCAATTATTCAAGCCTATAGGCAGTGTTGCCATTCTGTTCCCCTATAAGTAACTGTCCGGTTAACAATCTGTATAATTCTAACATGCAAAATAATGTACTAGCCCTGGTCACTTCATTTCCGTGATCCGTATTTTAATGCATGCGACAGAGATAAATATAAATGACTGGCTGATAGACGGAGAGACAAAATAAAAAGCGGCGTACAGTGTTGCCGTTTTTTTTACGTTTGTAGGAAAATGCGTGTAGAAAAAAATAAACTATTTTAAAAACTTTTATGCATATTACTGAAATGAAGATAATATGTCTAAACTAAATATAATCTATTACAGCTGTAGTAAAATGAGTAACTAATTGTGAAAAATAAAGTTCCAACCCTAGATGTAACATTGTTTATAAACGTCTACTTGTGCGGTTTGAAATTTTGATGCAAAATCCGGCAATATCGCATAGCAGAAATGTATCAACCCAACTCTTATCTCTTTTTAATACATAAGCTGTCGACACGTAACACGTAAAAATACAGATCACGCAGTTAATATGTTTTACTCTAATAATGTTTTTAATATATTTTAATGACAGACATGTTTGATTTATAGGAGTCGTAGTACATACAGAGATAAAACGCCAATCAACAATAGAGGACGGAAAGATTCTATCGCTAGTATAGAAAGCAGAGACAGAGACAACTTTAGGTATGTTAATTTGTTGCTACTATAAGAATTTCGCATACTGACATAAAATTTTGTTGTTAGAGTACCACATAATATTCCAAGTAATAATGACAGAAGACGTCGTGGTTCAAGAGACCCTCGTGGTTCAAGGGAGGGAAGTTTTGACAGATTTCATAATAAATCCCGAGGATCTAGTAGGGATGTTAGTTTTGATAGGAGCCAATCTACCGGAACATCAGAAAATTGGAGGGATGAAATTAGAAGAAGCAGGCAAAATTCTGAGAGAGAAGGTACAAGCTAAAAATTAATATTTATCTAGGATATAGATAACTAGGGTAGATAAAAGTTATGTATTCTTACTTCAGAAAAGTATTTAGATAAACTTATTAGCTAGAATCTATAGAATCTTAAATTTTGATATAGATTCTTTCTCTTTTGTATAGCTTTTAAATTTTGTGTTTTTAGCAAGTATTTTTACAATTATTTTGTAGCATATGTCTGCTAAATAGGAGGCCTTAATATGCAAAGCTTTAATATTGTTATAATAGCTCAGTTATAGAGAATTCTTGTAAACTTATGTATGTGTCTATACTTATTCATGCTCTTGCTTTGTCGGCTTAGCATAGTCTCAAAGATATGGCACCCACCACGCTTTTATTGTTGACAGAAATCTCAGAGTTGTTTGGTTTATTACCGAGAGGTCTTAGTTGGCAGTCGAATCGTAACAATATTATACAGGGTACAAGTGTGGAGGATTGACTCAACTTAAAACAGAACCCTCAAATTATGAGTCTACCCTACTTTTATTTTGTGACGTTTAAATAAAAAATAGAATGCTACTGATAAAGCGGAATTTAAGTTAGTCATATTAAAATATCTTCGCGGTGTTGCTAATTTATTGTGCTAAATATAATTGATGCTATGTTCATTAGACAGCCAGTCAACTTTTATTTACGTGAAACGGCGTACCAGCCTAGGTATTCGGTTATCAATGGAACCCCGTTTATAAGAACTATCGATACTGGTGCTCTGATTGCCTGCATGTGTACAAGAATAGGCGCGATAGGTGAAATGTGGGTATTCAAAAACTAGCGAGGTGACTAGCTGGCAGTGAATAAGCTATGGTTGGTATTCTCCTTTCTTAGTCTTTTTATTCAAAGAGATTTTCGCTGATTTTCTGGACGCCTCTTTATAATACCGCCTATCGTTTGTTAGAAAAAAAAGTTTTTGAAATTACTTCTCTAATTTAGATATTATATACAATCGTCCTTTCTATCTTGGTTGCACTATATCATACCACAGACTAACCTAAACAGATGCGACAAACAATGCAAATGTGAAAATTACATTTTGGCGAATGCGCCAGGCAAATTTTTCTGTTAGATTTGTCATATAGGCGAATTTTACAGCGGACCAGCAAAGTAACCTCCATTCGTTTACTAAGAAGCCACGCCTCCTTCGTGTAGAAAATAGAGAGGGAATTTTGTAGTTCGGAATCAAATAGAGATGATTTTAATTTCATTAGTTTTTTTTCAATTTTTGATACATTCACAATATATACCTACTAATATATAAAATTCTTAAGTGACTGACTCACTGATTAATCACGATCCTGCTCAAACCACTCAACGTAAGAAGCTCAATTTTGGCATACAGGTTGATTCTAGGGTGTAGAGGTTCGAAAAGAAGACATTTTTCGAAATTCCAGTTCCAAGGGGGTGAAACCATCCCTCAAATATTACAATATTTTTTATTTAAAAACCGATGAGTTTTTCGGAAAAGCTCTTAAAAACGTATATTTTATTTTGTTGTTTTACATATTTTAAGATTTTTTAAAAATTTATACAGAGTGTTTCATAAAATATGACCATTGAGTAATCACGATTCTGCTTAAACTGCTTGACGTTTAAAGCTGATGATTTTTGGCAAACGGATTGACTGTGGGGTGTAGAGATTCCATAAGGAGGGGTTTCTCGATTCCAAGAGGGTGAAAATGCCCCTCAAATATTACAATATTTGTTATTTAAAAAACGGTTAGTCTTTCGGGAAAACGCTTGGACACGCATAATTTATTTTGTTTTTTTACATATTTTGAATTTTTTTAAAAAATCATACTGGGTGTTCCAAAAAGTTGGGTAATTGATTAACTACGATTCTGCTTAACTGCTTGACGTAAAAAAAATTATTTTTGACAAACAGATTTTTCGAAAGTCAAATTCCAACGAGATGAAACTACCCGTCAAATATTACCAAGTTATATAATAATATCGCCATATTGTTTTTTCTCAGGCTCAGGACATAAATGTGAGAACATTTTATCCAGTTTGTATGTTAATGGAAATTTTTGAAAATTCCTCATCTCGGGGATGATATAGGGGTGAAAGTTGGTATGAAAATTTATTACTACCTGGCATAGAAGTATAATATTTTTACAAAGTTTATGTAGTTAATAAGTCGATTATTTGATCGAACTGTATGTCTATTCGCTTTTTTCGTATTAGAAAATCTAGGTATTTTCGGAAAAAAACACCCACAGTTTTTGATATAATTTAGTCCTAGAAAATCTAAAAAATGTATCTTCTTGTATTTTTTTAAAAGCATTTTAAATAAAATCAAAACAAGAAACTTAAACTGAATAGCTGAATTAACTAAAACAATACTAAGAACACCGTGAACTAACTAAATGTAAACCAACAAAACCCAACAGAAAATTAAAATCGGAAACAGCTAATAATAATGATGTATGTAATATCCATGTGAAACAACTGAAGAAACTGACTTAAAAATCCTCTGAAAGCCTTCAATATTCCCATCTTAGATTCCCATATTCTTTTTCTAGGACACTGTTGCCAATTCTACTTACCAATTTGTATAAACTATATCGGTATCACGGCACATGCAAACAATGTGCCGTGTCTGTATCATAAAAGTACCTATTTGCTATATAAAAGATCAGCTGCTAAATTTTAAATCAATTTAAAATATCAAATAAAATGATAGTAGTGCATAAAACTATTAACAAGCAGGATATAAAAATAATTAAAGATAATTTAAACTGTCTAATAGTAGATAGACTTTAGATTAATATTTGAAATTAACAGCTGGAAGTACAGCTAAATACAAACGGCAAGCTGACAACAAAGATCCTATTCTTTAAGAATTTTATATTTCTGATATTTTATATCATTTTTAATTTTAAAGATATCGTCATTTTCTTTATACATATGTATTGATCTTAACCCATTGTTAAAGTTTTTAAATTTCTCATACTTTACAAATAAATATTAGCTGATATTTCCTAACATCATGTAATTATAGTTATTTATTATTATCCAGGAGAAAGCGCTAATACAAGTACATATAATATTTAATTCTCACATAAAAAAAATTCAAGCTGGCAATCTCGCTTTGACTTTATAATCGTACGTCGGCTGCGACGGCCAGACGAGGCGGCGCGGTGTATCAAAGGCAAGGTTAAATGCGAGAAAGAACGAAAGAAATGGAAGCTTAGAGAAGGGGGCGTGCGGGAACGATTTGAAGTCACCACGGCTGTTTGTTTGGCCGAATATTTTGCCTTCATCGACGGTATCGCCGCTCTGTCGTCGCACTTCCGAACATAGGTCTTTTTGAACACAAAATTTCCCATAAGGTGTCGCATCTGTTTAAGTTAGTTTGTGATCATACTCATTACTAGGTATAGAGTATACTAGTAAAGTTGGTTTTATCAAATTTTATAATGATTAGATGACAGATTATGTAATAAGTCTGAATATTTACAGAATTTGTGCCTCTTAGTAATTGTTGTACTTTTTTAAATTTATAAACTGATTTCAATTGATTCTCAGTTTTGTAGGTTCAACTGTATGCCTATAAGTCTCGTCACTTCATCTATCTGGTCTGTATTTTAATGCACGTAACAGAGATAAATATAAATAACCGGTTGAGAGACAGAGAGAGACAATAAAAAACGGCATACAGTGTTGCCGGTTTTTACGTTTGTAGGAAAATGTCTGTAGAAAAAATAAACTATTTTAAAAACTCATGCATATTGCTTAAATGAAGATAATATATCTAAGCTAAATATAATGTATTACTACAGCTGTAGTAAAATGAGTAACTAATTGGGAAAAATAAAGTTCCAACCCTAGATATTTTTCATAAACGCCTACCTGTGCGGTTTGAAATTTTGATGCAAAATCCGGCATTACCGCATAGCAGAAATGTTATCAACCCAACTTTTATCTCTTTTTAATACATTTGATTTTCCATTAAGCTGTCGACATCACTGTTTTAAACGTTAAAATCCAGACCACGCAGTTTCAATGACCAGATCGGTATGTTTGTTTTGTAGGTTCAGTTATAAGCCGCAGGATTAGCTCTGATCGAAGTCGAACAAATTCCGAACTTGAAGATCACCCTATCGATAATACTACTAAAAAAGCAGGCATATTAGTTTTACCCCCTAAATCGCCCGAATCGACACAAATATCTGCCTCAGAGAGACCGAAATTTCCCGAAATCAAGAAAACCCCGCCCCAGCAAAAAACTTTGTTTGATCCAAACAATCCTAAAAAACCGATTTTGGTTAAATCTCCTGGAAGTAGAGTGGCAGTTCCAGGATTTTCCGAATCAACTGGTTCAGCACCCCCACAAATGTATACAACTGATCAGTTCGGCAATTTAAGACCCAATTGGTATGATGAAAGCAGGTAAAAAATATTGTCGTAACTTATAACATTTTTGTAATATTTTGAGTTGTTTAGCTGAACGTTAAAACAATTTAACAAAAAACTTTGATACAAAAATCTATGACTTTCAACTGACAGTGATCCTTCTGACTGAAACGTTGTGTTAATAAAAATATGTATTGTCGGCGATATGTTAATAAATTCACTACAATGTCAATTTGTGCTGATCAGATTAATGGGAAGAATAGTATTTACTCTCATATATTTTGGACTATATTATAAAATTTATTTAAATAAGTATCCATCATAAGAAAATTGTCAAATGTTCATTCTTAAGCTTTTTATAATTTACACATTTTTTTAGACTGATACCAAAATTTTACCACTATACTGAGTCTTAATAAGGTCTAAATATTATAACCCATAGGGCGAGTCTTGAATAAGTGCAAATATTTTTAGTGGTAGTATATTTTGACCCCAGAAACACGATTATGAGATTTTGGAATTAGAATTTTTTGGAAAATTTGGAATTTTTTGAATTTTTTTTGGAAATTTTTTAATTTTTAGTTAAACAACATAATTTGTTGATAATATTACATATGTAGTAGATTAAATCTACAAGAAAGAAAATCCAGAAAAGATTTCTCAAAATTTTAGCAAAAAATATCTTTTTTTGGAAATTTTCAAAGTAAAATATCTGGGTTATTTTGGATTTATTTGAAAAACAGTAAAGAGAAAATATGTTTCTTTTATCGAGACCAGCCCTGAAAATATTCGCACTTATTTAAGACTCACCCTGTATGTAGTGTCTAAGAGCTAGCAACGTTTTCGAGAAAGTATTTTAAAAAAACTGGCTCTTTATTATATCTTTTGCTATGTTCTCTGGAACAGCGTGCGAGTCATCTGCCTGCCGATAGACGTTGCGTTCACTACTGCGCATTGGAAGAAGATCCTATATATTTTTTATTTAGTCCGTTAAATTCTAGTATTGAATATAAATCGAACAAGTTTTCATAACGCGGCGCGAAAACGTTCCGCCTATAAAGCTAGAAGTCCCGATTAAATCGTTGTTTTTTAATCACCAGGATTATTTAATACTTTACTATTGGAATATAAACGAAAATAAAATAAAAAAAAATACCCCGAGCCGGTATCGAACTCGGGACTTCTCGCCTTATCGGCGGAACGTTTTCGCGCCGCGCTATGGAGACTTTCAATGCGCAGTAGTGAACGCAACGTCTATCGGCAGCCAGACGGCCTGCCCGTTGTTCCAGAGAGCATAGTAAAAGATATATCAAAGAGCCAGCTTTCTTAAAATACTTGTTTTCCAGACGTTGCTTGCTAGCTCTCGTACTAATACTACTAGAGCTTGTATAAAAATCAGGAAAATACAAGCATTAGTTTCATTTTCCATAGTTTACTATTTATTTACATTTTCTTTTGTGAAAGATATATTGTATTTATATATGTCTGTATTTTTTAGTGATGAATTTAATGCCTGTCATTACCCAGATTTGTTAAGAGATATTAAAAAGGCTGACACCGAACTTCAATACATCCTGAACAATGGCTTACTATTAGTCAATTATGAAACTGTTGACAATTTGAGACAATTTTTGAAAAGTGCTTTGGAATTTCTGTTATGCAAAGCTATCAAGTTTTGTCAGACGGAAAATATGGAGCATCATGTATGGAAACTTTTATATTACAATATAATTGAAATCACTAGGAAAGCGATAACAAACGATCCGGAAAATAAACAGCAATATAAAGGCTTTTTATTGTATCTAATTGAGGAAGGTAAGAAAATAGAAAAAAATCTTCTCTGAAGATATAGCTTGATAAAAATGTGTAAATTTAATAGGCTTGGTGCATTCTCCGACGGTGCCGCCACCAACGCAGAATCCCATAAACAAACGGCTTATACACATACACAAGCTTAAATAGCGAGTAAAGTCTGTCCAACGACAAAATCCTTGACAGTGATAGATGTGTCTGTCATTTTAATTTGAAAGTAGTTTATTTTATTTTATAAAGAAATAAGTTGGTACAATTGGAACGCATAATTAATATATTTAAATTTTGAGTGACAAGTGATTACGTCAAAATATTGTGAAAAAAAAACAGCATAAAACTGAAAAAAATCTAATCTTGATTAATTAACTTTAATCTTAATTTGTTCTGCTAGTACTAAAATGTATTATTTACCTATCGTGTGATGTTATTTTACAGATACTCCAGGTTTTGGTACCATATACGAGATGGTATACAACTTTATTTGTGGGTAATACAACTCTCTGGCCATAGTCTCTGGCAAACTGTGTTTCTGGCGTTCCCTAGGCACCGAATATTAACTGTAAACTATGGTCTGTGTCAACACTTAATTTTTTCTCGAGTTTTCCTCCACTTAATTTTAAAAAACACGAAGCACAATTAACAACACAGTCCAAAATGCAAAATGCAAAATATTTATCATTTCTATTTGACACAAAATTATAACCTATAATTTGGCAAGACATTGACAACTCTCAAAAATCTTAAGTCGAGTTCATACGCATCGGAGTCCGTTTGTCGTTCATAGTTTGGTTTGGGTCAAACCAATAATATTGAAATATGATCTGTCGTTTTTGAAATAAACCAATAAAACTGGTTACAAACAACAAGAGACGACGCATGACGTGTTTACTTATTTTAAAATAATTTTAAACTCATCCATAGTTAACTTAAAAAATATTAGAAACTTTTTTTAGTGAAATAAATGGATTGGTATGGAAGTCATCTGCTTTTTTTCTGTCATCGTCTGTCGAAATCTTACCTGAGAAAAAAGCAGAGTATACTACTAAAAATTTGCAATTTGTGAAAATTTTAAAAAAATAGAAAGGTAAATCTTTTGATATCCTCAGAAGGGCTAACGTGTATTATAATTTGTTATTTACGTTAATAAAACTTTTTAACCAAGTTCAACTACGGTAGCATAATTTTAAGCACCGGTTTTGCTAATGGGGGCATAACTGGGGCAATTTTGTCTATAACGAAATTTTTTAAAGTTACATAATTATAATTTTAGATGTTCATAAAAATTTAAGCACTAGTTGATTAAAAAAATACCATTAATATTTATCAAATTATATTTTACCATAGTATATGCCTATTTAATTTTATATTATATAATGGGGCACTTTGTTTTAGTGATGGGAATACCGGTTCCACATGAGTCGCGTTACAATAGCGACCGTTTCAGAAAAATACCGCGACAAAATACCGCGATTTTGTAACCGAAGTTCCGACGGAAGTGTTGCGGTCCTTATCTATATTTGTAGATTAATGTATCAATGTAACTTTTATCCGCCACTCATTTTCCAAATATCGAGTTTATAATTGTGTATAGCCAATCTATCTCATTTTTAGAAAAACGATGACATTCCTTGTTATTTTTTTTTCTTTATCAATTTTCGTTCAAATAAAATGAACGGCTCATATTTATGTGTATTGCAATATAATATATTTAATGTTAAAATCAAGAACAAAGTCCAAACCACTGCCAAAAAAAATTGTTTATTGGTCTAACCTAACCTAAAAAATAGATATAAACAACAAAACTAATATAAATGTATAAAAGCAAATATTTTAACAACCCTATTTTATACCATGCCTAGTACATACCAAAAATTGCTATTTCGAAAGTAACGTATCGACGGGAGCACCAACGTCAATAGTAACCGACCAAATCGCAACAGGCAAAACTGAAACCCTAGAAGCGCTCCAGCGACAGTTGGAACGAAGTAGGTCGCCGCCGAGGTCGAGCGTCGATGCCCAGTTACAGCAGTTACTTCTGTTCGCGACAGGGAACTACAACTCTAGGAGCGCGACGGCTGGAGCGAACACGTCCCGATCGAGATCGCGCGGCGCTACGGACATACCAGTTCCAGATACTACTGTTGGCGACCGACGAAATCGCGACGGCTGGAGCTAAACACGTCGCTATGCGGTTATTACGGTTCGAGCTAACTTCAAGTGCGATTATAAATAATTTATTTGCAAATTATAAATTATTTATAATTTTGTCGTCATTATGATCGTTGTTCTTCAGTAACAGGTTCCTGATTCGTTGTGGAGCGCGACACGACGTTACAAAAAAATACCGCTCCAAAATCGCGTTACTCAAATACCGACACATTACTACTTTTTTTACCCAATTGTTTCGTCGATGTGTCTGAATCCATTTTTGATCATGTTTGTTTTGTTACAGTCTTAATTTTTTTACTGTTGTTAATATTATTTTAGTGTGATGAACATGAACGGTAACCGGGACGGAGTGAAATGAAGTAGCTGGACAGTTCTGATTTCTTTCGTATCGAGCGCTGATGTCGTAATTTTAAAAAATCTGTTGAAATGTACCAAGCCTATATATGGAGATTTTTAACACATTATAACACTATTAATTACTTTCGTTGTTTCCTAGGTACCAAGTATTTTGAAAGACTGATCACTCTTTTAGAAGACACATATAAATTTAAAGTTTCAAATTATATTGGTAATAATAGTATGGTTCAACATAAAGGTCTTGGTTTTGTTGGACTGGCACTTGTATCAATTCAGAAATTATTTTTATTTTTGGGTGATCTTGGGCGTTATAAAGAACAAGTTAATGAAACATCTAATTATGGAAAGTGTAGACAGTAAGTGTTGATATCTTTGAATAAGAAGACTAAGGAAGGAGCATTAATGCTATCCATGTATTCATGCATGGTGGGCGGAAAAAGAACTCTAGGGTGGGGATCCTTGATAGTTCTGTTTGACGATTCATTTGACACATTTGAATTTGATTTGAAATTTTGTGGATTTGTCAGTCTTTACGGAGCTTATTTTATGTTATTATTTATTCGACTACTGATAGTTGTATAAAGGTAGTAAATCTAGATGGAAATTGTGGAAGAACTTAAATTAACAGTGACACTATCGCGATTTATCGAAAAAGACTCTAAAATAGTTGGTTGTGTAGCGTGCGGTAGATCTCGGCAAAAATCGAGTGAAATAATGGAACAACTTTTTGCTAGTAAGTGACTATATAATATACATACGTGTAGTAAACCGATCATTTATGAAATTCACTTAAATTAACTAATTATATATTTTTTCTTGCATTTTTGCTTTTATTTACTACTTGTCAAAGATTAGATGTCAAAGAATTTAGATATGTCAATTTGACTTACCTGCTTCAGTAGCGTATCGGATGTTTATGGTTATAAATAATTATTATAACTTATCTATTTTTATTAGAATTTTATATTTTTATAACAATTTTAATAACTACCTTACATTTATTCACAACGTAAAATAAAAAAAAATATTGAGTCTACCCCAACGTCTACCCTATATCATAGTTTTACATTTTTTAAATAAAATTAGAATGGCACTGATAAACCGGAATTTAAGTCGGCCATATTTGAGGCCCATCGCGGTGGACCTAAGATTTTTGATATGCTCCTTCCTTAGTCTTCTTATTCAAAGGTTGATATAAAAGGAATTATTGTTTTTTCTAATATTTTTTTCTTCATTAGGTGGTATATTAAATCGCACGAAATCAACCCTAAAAACGGAAAACCCTATAATCAACTGGCTGTTTTGGCTGTTTATTCGGTTAGTTTCGATAGATTTATTTGTTTTTATTCTATTAATAAGTTTTTCTTTTTATAGAAACGAAAACTCGATGCAGTTTATTATTATATGAGAAGCTTAATGTCATCAAACCCTGTACCATCAGCAAGAGAAAGTTTAATATCTTTATTTGAAGAGAGTAGGAAAAAGGTAATTGCATGTTAAAGATTTTAACATTATAAGTTGTTATATTTGTGAGGGCTTATTTAAAAATGTGTAATCTCAATAATCCATGATTGTACCAATATACTAATATATCTTTTTTCCTTTTAACATGCGCAACGTTCCTTCTTCAGTATCTTCATCAGATATGTGTACGTATTTAATTGTGTATTACATCTTATCTGCACCAACTTACTGTAATTTGGATGTATACATTTGAATAAGATTCCTCTATCTGTTTGTTATTTAGGTAATTTGCACATATATTCACTTTTTCTTCAAATATTTCTTACAAATAACTCAATTTTATATTCATTTTATAAGCTTTGTTTTTCACGTGTTAAATAGGATTATTATACACATGAAGTCTGTCTAATGAGAAAATCCCTGACAGTGACAGTTGTGTATGGCATATAGGCAAATCGTATTTTCTGTTATTTTTTGGATGTCGTATGTCAAAATCTTCCACGTCTCCTTGGACAGACTTTAATACTCTTTGACAATAGTAAATATTGAGAACAGAAACACAACTGCATGAGAAAAATGGCCAATATCAGTATTGTTTATATCTTCAATAGATATAAAAAAAAATGATAGGAAAGTATGTGTTGCGCTACTTCCCTTACTACTACACTTCTTTACTATTTACACAGCTACCAGACAACCTTTATAATTTAATAACGCTTGTGTTATTATTATTAGTTGTTTTGTTAATGTCCAAATAAAATTCGCTAGGGCATGCGCTTGACTGCTTGATAGTATGAGATATTTTACTGATAAAACATAAAATTTAATTAAATGTATTTTACTTACCAGGTTTATACAGGGTGTCCCAGAAATAAGTGCAAATATTTTAAGGGGTGGTAGATCTCGATAAAAGGAACATATTTTGAGTTTTTTTACTTTGAAAATTTCCAAAAAACATATTTTTTGCTAAAATTTTGAGAACCACCGGATCTTTTCTGGATTTTCTTTCTTGCAAATTTAATCTAATACTTATGTTGCCATATTATCAAGTAATTATGTTTTTTAACTAAAAACTAAAAAACACATTTTCTTTAAAAAATTTCGAATTTTCAAAATTTTTTTTTCGCAAAAAAAACCTCATAGGCGTGTTTCTGGGGTTGAACTATACTACTAGTTAAAATATTTGCATTTATTTCTGGGACACCCTGTATATTATAGTATTGTACCATATGATAAAAAAAACGGCGTCAAGGTCGGCTTGGAAATAAATTTCGGTCTTACTTTGTACGTAAAATTATATGCGGATTGTCATTTCCAAGTGTTTTTTTATGAAACGGTATTTTGGCTTCTAACATTTGTGCTAATGGGAACGGGAACTATATTTTCACATCCTCACATGATGGCATCAGGGTGCGGAAATCTGTACCCGTTTGTGAGCAATAATTACGCTACAAAAGCTCACTGATTTCGGCACCTACACGGATTGTTAAATTTTTAACACTTCCAGATGTAATAAGCAGCCACAGAGCAAAATAATGAAACTGCATTCATGTTGATATTATTTTTTTTTATAAATTTTTAAATTTAGAACTTTTTTATTTTTAATTTTTATATTAAAGATTGCGAAATCTTTTTATTTATTTATTCTTTTGTTTCCTTTTCATTACCTTTCTGTAATGAAGAAAGGCAATTTTCAATGGTCATCCACAGAAGAGGGCTGAGATTCCATACAAACCATTCCTTCTTTAAGAAAATGTTTATTTGTCTGTTGCTATAATGTCTTTTAACCGTGCGATAAATTAAATAAATCGCGTAGGTGTCGAAATCAGTGTTCTTTTATAGCGTAATTATTGTTCACAAACGGTCACAGAGCATGGTGCCATCTATGTGAGGGTTTGAAAATATGCGAATGTTAAGGCTTAGATTTAGACATCTTCCACTCACACTACTTTAATAATAGAATAATTCATTTTTATCAACATTATGCAGTAGTTTGAAATATGAATATATTTTCTCTCTTCAACTTATATTGTAATAACTCTTGTTGCAACACGTCGTGTAGTTTTGTGAGACGTGATTTTTATTATTTACTCATTTTAGACTATTCAAAAGAAAATTATTTTGTCTTTATGTGATGCCAAGCGGCAATGTAAAAACATGTTTAATATATTATAAATTTTATAATTACCTTAACATTGTGTAATGTTGGAGTTTTTATAGAGGCTCCTTTAAAAGTTCAATATTTTGGAAATACATTTTTCTTTTTTACATTTATTAGGAATTGTTTTTGTTACGTTTGCTTTGTTTTAGGTACTTTCTAAATTTTTGGCGTTTACCCTATATTTTATATTTTGTTAATATAAATATTTGCATCTAATTTTATTTGATTAGTTTGAACAAGGCGAAAAGAAACGTCGCGAAGAAAGGCTAGAACGCCAGAGGCAACATATGAAACAGAAAGAATCTGAGGACAATGGGACGCCGAATTTCTTACGTAAGGAAACGTGGATTCATCCCGAGGGAGGACGACGCCTTCACAGAACGACTAAGGCGCTCCAGAACGAATTACAAGACTCGGAGGAGGAAGATCTAGCAGCTCTGAGCAGTGTAGATGTAAGTCGATGTATAATTAATAGTTAATTGTTACAGATTCCGCCTCGTATTAAAAAATCTTACAATAATGGCTAATTAACCAATTGCCAATAACCTCTTAAGATGTTACTTCTGGCTTGCTCCGGAAGTTACGTTTTTTTCTATAACATTCCATTTTATACGAGAATTTACTACATTATGGAGAGCCATCTCTCGATCCTCTTTATCGAGAGATGTTACTAGCTATTTCGTTATGACATTCTTAATATTATTACAGTTTAATTTAATTTATTACCGTATTAATATTCCCTGTGATTACTTAGTAAAAGGTTTGAGATGTTTGTCGAGTCGCATTTCTGTGAATGTTATTCCGAACATCATATGATAACAAGCTTTAATGAGGGGACGTAATTGTAAATATACCTGGTGCGTCTCAGAAGTGGTTCACTCCTATAACTTTTATTTTTTTCAGATAAAAAAAATGAGGTTTTGTATGTTAGCATATTACATAAATTAGGACTGATTGACGTATTCAATTGTTTTTGGTCACCTCTTGTTTCACTGGAAATGACTACAACTTTTGATTTTTAAATGACATCCTCGGTATATTTTTACTTTATTTGATAGAAAATGACACTGAATAGAATGACATTTCATATGTTAACTCGTATTTTAAATTTTAATCTAGAGTGCCTTGGGTTAAAAACACTGATGGGGTGACTTTGGTCATCTAAAGTTTTTCGTGTCGTATTTTTAGGGTGGCTCATCAGCGTATTTGGAAAAAGTATTTTTTTACAAATGATTTGGTACCACACACTTGGTATTTCGAGTCAAATTGTCGATATGACCCGCATGTTAACAATAATTTCAAATTCAGTAAAGATTTCAGTTAACGTCTCCTTTTTGCTGCCAGGGCTACTCTGGACGGGGCCCACTTTGTTTACGCGGAATCCGAACCGCGGTCCCCGGCCATATCATGGTCAGTGGCCTACCGACTTAGGAAGTGTCTAAATTAACACTTACTCACGAGATATCCGATCTCATCCGGCCTCGAACCGGCATGATTGAGCAGTGTGTATCAATAGATTTTACACTTTTCCTTTGGACAACAGAACGATACAGAGTTTCGAACCGGTCACCCGTCCATCCACCAGTATCGCCATACGTCGCTTAACTTCGGTGTTCTAATGGGAACCGGTGTTTCAACGTAGCTAGGCCGTTGCCCCAATTTCAAATAAACCGTATGCGAAAATGTCAAAAGTTGACATTTTTTGATATGTGATTTTATTCAGAGTATTATTTTCTATTGAATGAAGCAAAAAAATAACGAAGGTGTCATTTAAAAATCAAAAGTTGTAGTCATTTCCAGTGAAACAGGAAGTGACCAAAACAATAGAATACGTCAATCCTAATTTATGTCATATATTAACATACCAAATCTCGTCTTTATATCTGAAAAAATAAATCAGTTATGGGGGTGAACCATTTTTGAGATGCACCCCGTATATTTCATATAATAGTTTAGTTCGATTTTTCTTATTACCGATTCTGAACCATCATAGAACTGTGATACGCATGGGCAGAAGGAAATGTGGCAGGTTTTTTGATCTGCGCATACGCAGTAGAGCTTTAGGACGGTTCAGAACCGTTAATAACAAAAAACCGAACTAAGCTATTATACAAAATATATATTTACTATGTATTTGATATATTTTTTTGGTTTCTTTGTAGGTTAATAAACGGTTCGTGATAAGCTATCTTCACGTGCATGGAAAGTTGATAAATAAAGTTGGGTAAGTCACTACATAAATTTTATCACATACATTTTAGTAAGGAAGCAGTAAGGCATGAGACATTTCTCTCTTTTCTGAGGGAAAACATGATTTCCACAGGCCACCGTACAGTATAATATATGAAAACCTTTTTTATAGAGAAAAAAAAGTTGTGTTATGTGAAATCCAAACTGTGGTCCTTTAGCCATATAATGGCCTACCGATTTAGCGAGTATTAAAGGATTTAACAGCAAGAATCCGATTTTACTTTCTTGCCTTTGAACAACAGCACCAAGGAGATTTCTAGACTCTCATCTAACGTCGTTTAACTTCGATGATGAGGTACCGGTGCCATTGTTTCGACGTTGGTGGGATATTGTTCCTTGAGTTTGAATTACTTTTTAACAAATTGGATTGAAACTCGTACGAAATTAGGTAACAAACTAGTAATGAAATTATTCTTTGCATGTAATTCTACTTATTCAAATAATAACATAACTAAAAAATGTCTATACCTATGTGGCGGATTCATCTCTCCAAAAAAATCCTTTATGGGTATTTCACCACTGCACTGCAACGTCAACGGTTTCTTGTAGACATGTCTGTTTTAAAAAAGTAAAGTCTTCTCGAATAGTTGAATTTATATATTTTAAATAATTTTTTTCTTTATTCTTTGTATTTTTTTTGCTTCCGACGACGGAAACTTAACTTTTCGAAACGTTAAGCATTTTTTTTCTTTGTTAGGCAAGTTTGTATAACTGTAAACATAACTTCTGACAAGCAGTATCCGTTTAGGCTTAACGCAGAAGTGTTTACAAAAAATAACTATTTTATTTTGTAGATTTTCTTGCAGTGCAGTGGCGAAATACTCATAAAGGATTTTTTTGGAGAAATAACATAACTACTTGACAGAAAAATTAATCTGTGCGCGATTGTTAAACTGTTATTTATAAATACTATTTTTTTATAATAAATCGTAAGACAGATATAGTTCTAGAGGCGAACATCTATCATTCATAGAGGGGACTGTCATCGTCGAATTTATACGATCGCTATCCGACGGGCAGTAATGACGGTCGTCCGTCTCCGCGGTACAGTCGTTCACTTTTATTAATTCGCTGCCGCTATTTATAAACCTGTCGATGCCCACCGAACTCGCCGGCTCGTCCCATTGTTCCGCGGGAGGGAAGAACGCGAACAAAAAGGATTAGCGGACAGAAGGCATAATTCAAATCGCGAGTTGTCGTCCACGGACAGACAATAAAATCGAGATTAGTTTGCCGGCGTGGCACAATGCTTCGGTGAGTCATGGGACAGATGCTGGTAGTCTCGTGAAGGCAACCAGGGATGTTGAATATTCTTGCGGAGTTGTATTCTTGCGGAAGTCGACGGAAATGTAGGTTGTTTTGTATTTCGAACAGTCATTTCCTACTGTTCATAATACCTATAACTGATTATACGGCGCCACAAAAGTGCAAGATACAAGATATACTTACGTGGATACGTAAATAACTAAAAAAATTGTCCCAAACATATCACCGATAGACTATTATCACAGATTATACAGATTATAATCTTTGTTTTTTCTTTATTGTTTTTCGTGGTTCCAATTTTCGGAATCGGGCACTAGTTAGGTGACTAGTTTGCGCACATAGCACGCCCACTTATGGCCTCTAAAATTGTGCACAGCGCCTGACCAGCACAGTTATTAGAGAGATATCGGAAAACCGAATAGCGTCATCCAGTATTTACGCGTACTTTATGGTTACGATATGCGCGAGTCAATTTTTAACGCAACACCCGCTAATAACGTTACCGCCCTGACATAATTTGCGGATCAATTACACCAAGCGCTCTTTCTAAATAACCTCTGATAACGTTTAAAAATTGCTTAAATGGGCACGTGCGGGTATTTGACAACTGGAGCCGGCCGGCGAGATCTTTTATTTTAGGTTATGTTTGAATTGTTTTGAAGTTGGTTTGTTAGGTAATTATTTTAGGTTATGTTTGAATTGTTTTGAAATTGGTTTGTTAGTTGTTGGTTTTTGTTAGGTAATTTGATATTTAAGTAGCTGGGATTAGTTTTAATTAAATAAATATGGCCCAAAATATGGATTCCACCTCTTCCAATACTAAAGAACCTATAGTCCTAGGTTTACAGCAGATGATGACTTAGCCCTTCTAAGAGAATTCGTTGCTTGTTGCCCTAAACTCACTGGCAGATGTTGAACAATAAAGCACTGGAAATAAGCACTTTACCCCTTTAGTTTTAAAATACCTAGTAAACAAAACAATTTTCAATTTTTTAATTCAAAGTTAGGTTAAGTTTAAATAGCGGACGCGACGCGATCAGAATTCTTTCCGATCCGATAACTATAAATGAAGAGAGTTAATACCACCTCACGTAAAGGAAATAACACCTGGCCTTATTAACGTCCATGCACGCTATTCGGTTTAGCGATATCTCTCTATTACGCTGTTTATTGTTATTTTACGCGAGTTTATTTTTGCGCACAGGAAATTTGACTCGTTTGCACATCGTCATAAAAAACAATTTTCGTACCACGAATTAGGGACAAGATTTTTATCTGTATACTTATAGGATACCTAATCTGTACTATTATCTTATTTCTTTGTTGCACACGCGGTACTGCTACTCTGTCTGTATTAATAAATTATTTACTAAATTATACTAATAACTATATTGTTGCGGGCCGGTGTGGACTCGACCTAACCTCACAATATGGCCAGCCCTCGGATGACGTTAACATCGCATAGACACCGCAATGATTCATTCGTTCGAGAAGAATCGAGTCCCACTGGAATGGACTAGTACATACGAGAACATTCGAAAACCTTCTCTACGCACCTAACGATCTATGGACTATTCTAGAGTTCTTTACCTGTCGGTATAAAAGCCGGCGGCGGTGGCCTACAGGGGGCAGTTATAAATATACCAGTGCAGTTGACGCGCTAAAATTCAAAATAAATTCTTAGTTATAAATCGTTTGTAAATAGTTCTATAAGTCCTTTATCGTTATTGTTTTTGTTAATTAGTGTTAAATAAATAGTGTTTAAATAAATTGTGACTTTCTATCCACACGGAACCGACGAAAAACGTAACAATTGGTGTCAAGTGTGGCGTGTGTGATAGACTAGGAAAATAAAAAGACAGACAATGGCTCCAAAAAAATTGTTGAAAGACTTGAAAGTGTCGGAATTAAAATGCGTACTGGAAGAGAGGGAATGCGAAACAGATGGAAAGAAAAGCATTTTACAAGCCAGACTGAGAGACGTTTTGATTGAGGAAGGTGAGGATCCTGACACATTTTGCTTTGAGCTGGAAGGTGACCTTGACACGTCCTTACAAAACTTAAACGACAATTTGAATTGTTTAAATAATAAAATCAGTGAGAATTCCCAAAAATTAGAAGATAAAATCACAGAAAATTCCCAAAAATTAGAAGATATGATCATAGAAAATTCTAAAGATATACAGGCCAGCTTTAATAATAAAATAATTAATTTAGAAGAAAGTTTAAACAATAAGATTATAGAGAATTCTACGGAACTACAAGACAAAATAACACAAATTGAGGACGATGTAAACAGAAAAATCGAAATTTTACGGGAAGAAATAACGAAGTCAAATTCACCAAAATGTCAAGAAACATCGGAGGGACCGAAACTAGTCGAAAATAGGTATACCTCAAAATCAGTTATGAAACCTCCACAGTTTGACGGAAAAACCGCTTGGGCCAACTACTTTTGCCAATTTGAAGCCGCTGCGAGAGCAAACGGCTGGACAATCGCTGAAAAAGCTACCGCTTTGACTATCGCACTGCGGGGAGATGCGACTGATATCCTGCAGACACTGTCACCATCGGAACAGGGAGATTATCAGCAATTGGTACGACATTTAGAAATGAGGTACGGCCAAGCTCATTTAGAACATGTCTATCATTCCCAGCTAAAAAATCGCATTCAAAACAGCAGTGAGAAGGCTCGCTATGGTGTAACCAAAGAAGATCAACGAGACCTCTTTTCCGTGCCTCCTGATTATTCGCTCGCTCATTGTGTGGCTCGAGATTTGCGGATGTCCAGAGGAATCGCTGCGACGTTCAATGAGAAGTTTGGGCGTGTCGGAGAACTACGCCGACAGGATCCAGAGGTTGGAAGCGTCTTTAGGCTAACCGACAATGCACATGGTCAAGCAAGGCACATCTTCTACCTGGTCACCAAGGAATGGTCCCCGAGTAAGCCGACTTATCTCAATCTATGGAAGACCCTGATTGAACTGAGAGAAGCCCTGCTAAACAATAACATTGCACGATTAGCCATTCCGAAGCTGGCGTGTGGACTCGATGGTTTGAGTTGGCGTACAATCCGGAACATGATTGAAGTCTTGTTCAGATTTACGGGAATCGAGATCCTCGTTTGCTGCTACAACCCAAAGCTGAGATCGGGAGAGAAAACGGTAGACTGCTATTTCTACCAGACTTCGCAATGTACCAGGGGCCAGCTTTGCAAATACCTTCATTCACCGTATACATCTCGGGACGAGCATGTGCCTAAGAAGGGGGCAGTGTTGCGAGCCGGTGTGGACTCGACCTAACCTCACAATATGGCCCGCCCTCGGATGACCTTAACATCGCATAGACACCGCAATGATTCATTCGTTCGAGAAGAATCGAGTCCCACTGGAATGGACTAGTACATACAAGAACATTCGAAAACCTTCTCTACGCACCGAACGATCTATGGACTATTCTAGAGTTCTTTACCTGTCGGTATAAAAGCCGGCGGCGGTGGCCTACAGGGGGCAGTTATAAATATACCAGTGCAGTTGACGCGCTAAAATTCAAAATAAATTCTTAGTTATAAATCGTTTGTAAATAGTTCTATAAGTCTTTTATCGTTATTGTTTTTGTTAATTAGTGTTAAATAAATAGTGTTTAAATAAATTGTGACTTTCTATCCACACGGAACCGACGAAAAACGTAACAATATTAATAAAGAAACCTAAAATTAACTTAGAACTAAACATATTTTTGCATTCCTTGTAATATCAAAGATATACAAACACATATTCATTTGAAAGTCAAAATAAAAGCTTCATAAAAAGTCAACGCAATGAAAATAAGGTTATGAGTTTTAAGCCATTGACGTCATTTACTTGGCCCATACTCTTCTTTATTTTGTAATGGCGCATGTCAGTTGAAATCCGAGAAACTTTTTTTTTTGGAAATAGATTTGTGTTTCTGTAAACGTTCTATCTTTTTTTAATCGTTCTATAACTAGTATTAATTTTTTACAAGTTCTATGTCAATTTTTAGGGTTCCGTACCCAAAGTGTAAAAACGGGAACCCTATTACTAAGACTTCGCTGTCCGTCCGTCCGTCTGTCACAAAGGTCTATCTTATGAACCGTTATAGCTAGACAGTTGAAATTTTTACGGATAATGCATTTATGTGGCCGCTATAAGAACGAATACTAAAAACAGAATTAAATAAATGTTTATAAATAAAAAAGTACTTTCACTTGTAACCCCTAAAAGATTCAAGGCAAAATTTATGTAGTTTGGCAAAAGCTCTGGGAAATACTGAAAATAAGAAAATAATAAGGAAGCCACGCTAGACGCTAGAGTTTTGGGGGTTAGGTTAGATTGGTTTTGGCGCTGATACGCATAGCGTCTTTTGTATTTTTCTAATAAAAATTGATAAAATTTAAGTGGTGAAGTTTGAATTTTCTGTATTCTTACACACTAAACATTATCTTTTTAGTAAGAATTTTACATGGAATCTTTCAAGTCCTCGGTGGTCGCGTGGATAAAAAGCGTTAGGATTTTACGCTGCTATGACGTTGGAGCCGTAGTAAGACAGGTTCGAATTAAGTAGTTCTAGTCAAGGCGACTTTTTTTTAATCGTTTTTTTTAATTTTTACATAATAAAAAATGAAGAAACACATTATTAAAAATTGTATTAATCAACAAAAAATTTGTAAAAAGTAAAAATAAATATGTAAAAAATATTTATTTTTACTTTTTACATATTTATTGTTGATTAATACAATTTTTAATAATGTGTTTCTTCATTTTTTTAAATTACTTATACGCGCATTTAAAATTTCAGCTAAATCCGAAAAAGTTTATAATAATATAGTGTCTAATGTTGTATAGATGGAACCCTTCGTGCGCGGGTCCGACTCGCACTTGACCAATTTTTAGTAAATGACGTCTAGAGATTGACTGGGCCAAAATTATCATCGATTGTCATTCCCTAGTAGAGATGAGCAAAAAATTATAAATCGTAGCGATTTTTAAATTTGCAATTGCAATCTTGGCTCTCGTAGGAAACTGTGATTGCGATTTCTTCTATTTGCGAGTTTCAATTTAGGCGACTACTATTAATATATAATCGCAGCAATTACTATAGCTGTTATTTGCGACCCTGTTGTGATTTGCGATTTTGCTGTGATTGTGATTTTGTAAACTGGGACCGTAATTTCTATCTGCGAGTTTGAATTTTTAGGAGTTGCGATTTGCGATATTGCTGCGAATGTAATTTTGTGGCCTATTGAAGCATTTTACTGCGATTGAATTTTCTCTCTGATATTATTTATTTATAGAGAAGGTATTATTTTCTAGGACCACGATCAATAATATACCGGGTGTTTCTCAAGAGTGGTTCACCCCTATAACTTTTTTAATTTTTCTGATAAAAAAAAACGAGATTTGGTATCTTAGTATATGACATGAATTAGGATTGATTGAATTGCATCGGAAATTGCTACAACTTTTGATTTTTAAATGGCACCCTCGGTATTTTTTACTTTATTCAATAGAAAATAACACTCTGAATAGAATGGCAATTTCTGGCATTTTCGCTAAAAAAATTGTATTATAAATTTTATTCTAGAATATCATGGCTATGTTATAAACACTAATTTTTAATCAAGATGCCTCGGAAAAATAGATTCGATTGTTTGTTGTTTTTCCCGGCCAGTTAAAACATACCATGTATTTTTAATCATATCTCAATTTTTTCAAATGGTGCGAGGGTGGCGCTAGATCTAAAGGAACTAGAGGAACTAAATAAAAGACTAGTTTACGTACGGATCGGCCAGCGCGATTGATGCTAGGCAGGCGTGGGGAGTGCCAGCCTTATGTTATCGGATTCGGACCTAGAGGAGCTAATTAAAAGACTAGTTCACGGGAATCTATTCAGTCTGCATATCCGAGATATAATACAAGGCGACGACGATAGATTCGGCCTTATCTATTGCCACAGCCGGCGTAATTACCACAGAAAATTGTCGTGGATACCGTTTTTGATTTTTAGTTTGTTCTGTAAATATTTTATGGGAATGTTTTATTTTAGGTCCCTAAAATTGAGAAATATCTTATAAAACGAAGTAGATATTCCGAATTTTTAGTCAAAAACAAAAATCTTGAAGTGAGGAAAATGCAATTTTTCGTAAAATTTTCGTAATATTTGCTCCAATTGATTTGTGATATAGTTTTATAAACTCTGATTTGAGTTTCATTTTTAATTTTTTTTATCTGCAATAAAACTTACCTATATGTTTTTAACATACACAATTACACGTCTCGTTATATTTCGTACATTATAAAAATTATACAGATCATACTGTGAATAGTTCTGACTGACAACGAAACCCATTAGCAAGCAACGGGGATGTCAATGTTAGTAGGGAACTATTGTGAACTAAAGACCTAGTTCAAGGAACTATTCCTCTGGAGGAATTAGAACTAAGGAACTAGTTCCTTACAAGGAAGTAGAATTCCCACCTCTAATGTGTCCTGTGGAAATCATGCCATCTCTCGGCGCACAGACTTAATTTTAGGCTATTACGTTTCAAAGTACCGTATGATCGAAAAAAAAACGTCGTCAGCGATGGCTGTGAAATGAAGATCGCTGTCATTTTATATGTAAAATTATATGGGGAATGTCATAGATGTTCATTTCCAGGCCAACTGGATGCGTTTTTTTTTTCGATTATACGGTGCTTTGAAACGTTATAAGCTAAAAATTAAGTCTGTGCAACGAGAGAGAGTATATCGAGATAAGTTAATTTAACCATTGGATATATATTTTTTCATAAAGTTGCTTTTATTTTCTAGCATGGAGAGTTTTCAAGATGCAGCTATGCAGATGTTAAAAGAGTTCAGAGTTCTTTTGCAGCACTCGCCGGTTCCATTACCTTCCAATAGATTTTTACAGTTGTTGGCTCTGAATATGTTTGCCATTGAGAGCACGCAGCTTAAGGGTAAGTCATATATAGTTTTATAAAATTGTGTTTTGGTTTCCAACTAAATGAAAAACATATTTCGTTTGGAAAAAAATGAGCCATTTTTTCAGTTAATTATTTTACGAGATATTCTCTGCTTGAATGTGCTGAATATTTTCATGGCGGATTCTTCTGTGTCATGATTATTGATGATTTCATAAAACGCCGCCTGGCGACAGAACAGTTAAATGACACCGCATCTAAGAAATCGTAAAACAATAAATAGTTAACTTGCTTGCGGACCACCGAGGCTGTCTCCTATTTTAAGAGAGTGTCGTGGAGCGAAACGAGGCTTCAAAGTAGCGAGTTTTACGACGGAAGTCACAAATCATCAAAAAAGATGCCCTAAGCATCTTCAGAGGAGGCCATAAAGCTGAAAGCTTTGCCTAGCGATGAGGTGTAACGGTGTAAAATAAATTTTATTTTTTATTTTCTTCAATAAAATAACGCTGTTAGACTACTGATTGGGATGTATGAATTCACCACCCGAACGACGACTTTTATTATTATTACCTGCTATAACCATTTTTGTACTAAGATTATAAAAAAATATACAGGGTGTCCCAATATTCCGTGGATATAGAATTACTACGTATTTTTGGAATCAAAATAAGTTCATTGGACATAACTTACCTTTATACAAAAGTGCTTCGTTTGTTCGTTAGAGGGCATCAAACTTTAAAAATATAAACATATTTTTTAAAATACATATTTTAAGAATCGATATTCCGATTTGAATGAGATTTGGGGCGCTTTAACATTTGATATTCACAAAAATCAAGAAGAATTGCGGAAAGGACGAAAACTACCCCCACCTCTACATAAATTTTAGTAGAAATATTTTCCGAAATTCAGAAATTTTTATAATAATTCTACCGACAACTGATTTTTTTTTTCGTAAAATAGTCCTAGTATATACTACATTTTTTGTCTCTTGTAAAAAACGCCACATCGCATAGTTCTTGAGAAAAAAAATTTGAAAAATATTTTGTTACAGAGATCTACGAACAGGGAGTTCCAATATTCCGTGGACATAGACCTACGTATTTTTTGGAACAAAATAAGTTAATTGTACATAATTTACCTCCACACGAAAGTGTTTCTTTTGTCCGTTAGAGAGCACCAATCAAAAATAAACTGCAACATTAATGAATCTAAAATTTATTTATTTTTTAAGCTTTTTATGAAGCTTACGGTCATACCGTGCTGGCAACTGTTACTTTTGGGTCAGTATTTACATGTGTGGAATTAAATCGCATAGGGATCTTATTAAGTCGGAGTGAGAGAAATGCGACGGTGTGCTGTTGCGGCGTTGCCGGTACGCCTTTCCCTACTAATCGCGATCGCAAATCGCTTATTTTTAAAAGCCTTTTTAGCCGACCATACCAACAGGTATGGTAGGCTATAAGATCGGCAAAAAAAAGTTTTTTTAATTTCACTCAAAATGAGTTATTTGGGTCATAAATGACCTAAATACAAAATATTTTCATGATGTCTGCCTGTCTGTCTGTCCGTCTGTCTGTAATACGATAACTCAAAAACCGCTAAACCGATTTTAACCAAATTTGGCACAAAAATACTGTGGCACCCGAGAATCTGGCCATTAGTTTTTGGTGGGGGTGGGGGTTGGTAAGGGGGTAACTCCAAAATTACAGTAGCTTAGGAATAATATTTGCAACAAAATTTGTAATAACATGAAAATCAGTCAAAGTTGCAGTTTTTGAGATAATTGAAATTAAAAGAACTGCCTACCAACTTTTTATTAAGGCTATACGTGCCTCCCGGCGCCAATTTTTTTCGAAAAGATAACTCGATAAAATCATTAGATATCTTTCTAAGCATCTGAAATGGAATTATAAGGATATCGTTAGGGTGTCTCATTTTTTTACAACGAGAAAACGTCGCGAGAAAAAATCGCGATAATATAAAAACTCAACTTTTTAACACATAACACGCCATAACTTAAGAACCACTTTAGAAACGTTTTTCTTATTTTGAAGATCGGATCCTTTACAATATGCTTAAATAAGAAAAATTCGATAAGGTTGCTTTTTTTTCCATTCAAAAATTTTAAACAATCCATTCATTTACTTTTAGCGCATATCAAATTTCAGCAATCGTTTAACTTTCTTATTTATAAAGATTTTCACATACTGTCTGCGAAGAAAATATAACAGAAATATTAAGAAAGGTTTTGAAAAAACTACAATCAATTATTTCTAATAGATTTCGAGATATCGATTTTTGAATTCAGAGTTCTGATAGCGCGACCACTGTCGAACATCAACTCAATTCCACTTGTTTTTTACCAAAAATGCAAGTGTTTCTAACTTGCACTTAAATCTTAAAGTTATAGGGAAAATATAACGACTCATTAATAAATAAACAAATAAATGTGCATAGTTTAGTTTATAGTCGGTTTATTTCATACCTTTGGCAACGTGCTTACTGTTCTCTCTTTGTTCAGTACATTATAAACTCATTGTACTCTTCTTACATACGGAAATCTCTACTAGATTATTAGCGCATCATATATTTTGTGCGCCTACATAGCTTGATGTGACAAGAAACATATTCTGGAAGTCAGCTCATCGTAATTAGTTTACAGTATCGTAAAGAATACGCAGTGGCGTTTTTTACGAGAGACAAAATATTTAGAAAATATTAAAAGGGCCATTTTACGAAAAAAAATCGGTCGTGGGTTTGGAAAATATTTATATTAAAATTTATGTAGGGGTGGGGGTAATTTTTACCCTTGCCTTGTTTTTTTATTTTTGTGAATGTTAAAGCACTTGGCAAAACATAGAAACCCCAAATCTCATTCAAATCGGAATAACGGTTCTTAAAATATCTTAAAAAATGTTTTTAAACTTTGATGCCCTCCAACGGATCAACAAAGCACTTTTCTATATAAGAACATAAACATCATAAACATAAACATCTTTAATTTGATCATCATAGTAAACATCTTTAATTGATTTAAATTTTAATTCGGTATTAGGTATTTTTAAAACAGAAGCGAGATAGAAACATCACTGAAAAATACAAGATAATAAATATTATAGTTGGCCATATTAAACAGGCTAACACTGTCTACATGTGTGTATTCTAATTATGCATAGGTTATGGCAATAATAGATTATATTTTTGATTTCTTACTGTTTGATATTAGTTTTGTAAAAAAAACGGAACAACTGTTTAAGTCGTAAAAATGACGATTGAATCTCTCTACAGAATATTCTAACGAACTAATAAATGAACGTGTGACGGTAATAAATGCATTTAATAATCTTCCTTGTTATGATAAAACAGGTACCCGCATCGTTCGTTAGCACTCTGAACAAGACCCGACAAAATAAAATTCGTTTATTTTAGTTTGACCCAGGAATTGAACTATTCTCTGTCCTAAGACAATAAATTGGGAATTTGTTTTAGTCTTAACGTACTTGAATATTAATTCTGCAAGTCTAAAAGCGCGCTTTCTTTCAAAAGTCAAGTCAACTGATCAAGTCTCTTGCATTCATTTCGCATGAATGTAATATGACCGTCTAACTAAAACCTTGCATATTACGATTGATTGTCCCGAATTATTGTCTGAAATAAATATATCTGTACCTCAGAGAGTTTTGAGGGAATTCGATTTTTTGATGTTCCTTTTCACGGAACTAATTATGGTTCGTGGTCCTCTATAACACGTTTTTTTGTGACAGCAAATGAATTGGCCACGAGTACTGACATTTATTTTTTTAATGACTCATTGAATATGTTTGGCTTAAAAATAAATAAAACTCTGTAATATGTATTGTTTTATTATAAGTTTAACTATAAACTAAACTAAACTATTTTAAATATGAAATTATGTCTGGCTTTTGTCGGTAACCTCTTTAATTTAACTAAATTTATATTGGGTGCTAGTGCGCTACTGTTGTTTATTGAGTTTTTTTTCATTATTTGCATCGTTTTGCATTTATTACGCATTTTTATCTTTTATTTTTGTAAAAAAATGACCTGTCCGTTAATAAACATTTATTTGTCCCCATTTCTTGAGTTATAACTCATCATGCAGTCCCAGGGCTTTGACAAGAGCCAGTATCTGAGACGGTTTTACAGAGGGTAGTTCTCCATCTCTGATATCAGGCGGATCAAAGTTTATGCCACGAATGGTTGTCGTCTCGGCGCACTCAGTGATGAGGGTTTCTGGTGTCCCATTCTCTCCACAGCCGTTTTTTCATCGCTTCAGTCTACTGAAGTGCTCATTGAGGAGACAGTGTCCTGTTAAAAACCGTTGTCTTAGACCGTTGCAGGATCTCAATTCCAGGTTACGGAGAGTCTTCGAAGTTCTTGAGTTCCGCTTTTAGTTGGTTTCCACTTGGGAAAGAGAACGGTTCTGGTCCAGTTAGTGGAGTGTTCGCTCCTTCAAATGAGTTGCTTTATGTCACAGTTTACTATTTTTTTATTTATTTTTTTAGCTACTAGTGTTCAAGAGGTGTATTTAGTAAGGCGTCAAGTAGGTTGTCAGAAGATTTCTGTGAAGTTTATCATTATTTATGAAAATATGACTGTACTCGCATATTGAACAGAATCCGAAATATAAAATTAGGGAAAGAAGAGTAATTTCTAACTTGTTTTTTTTTAAATTTAACTGTTTTTTAATTCTGGGTGTAACTTTTTCGAAAAAGAAATTAAATTAATTTGTGTTTACCCTTATTTTTTTGTAATCTCTAGGATCTTTTTACTGTAGCTTGATATTAATTTCAATGTACATTTTCTTCTTTTACGTCTAGATGTTTCATGCAATAAACTTTGTGCCAGTTTTCTTGTTAAAATAATTTTTTGCATCTTGAAGTACAGCCTTACCCACTGTCGCCATTGATTGAACATATTCAACTAGTAGAAGTTTTTTGATATCAAAACGCGCACTTTTAATAAAAGTATTTTGACGTAATCGTTACCTTTCGTGAATTGCACTGTATTTTTAT